TCAAAGGACTTCCTTTTCTAAAGATTGAATTCTTATTTGCAGATTACCCAGAGAACATCCACTCCAATCATGAAGTGAGGTTAGAGTACTCTAGAGCTTATTTGAATTTAAAGATAGAGATCCATTAAAATGACAATTCAAAGAATTGAGGATGGTCTTTTCACACTCTTTAAATTATACTAGAATAGTTCAAAACACAGTAATTTAGCCTTCTTGAAAAGTGGTATAGAAGTTGAAAGGACAAGCAGAGAATGATCTAAAGCAGCTATTCCCAAAACAAAAGTATGTATCAGAATAGCCAAATCCAATTTTTCCTAACATTTGCATATCCTTTCCTTTGATTAAATCATGTGAATTTTAGCCCATGTTGGTGAATAGTAATTAACCTTGAATTTTCAATATAAGATCTCAACAAAGCCATTCCACTTATTGAAGGGGTAGCTAAATTTGTCTAACTTGGAAAAGATATTATTGAAGTTACCTATAATTAACTAAGGCTTATAGTTGTACTAGTAACTTGCTCAATCTAATTCTACAGTATATATCCGTTGGAGAGTGAAAGAGGGCCATAAACAAAAGCAACAAGGATTTCCTCTACTATTGAAACAACTTGTAGAAGACAATGACAAAAATTTAGGGTTCATTCTTGAACATTAACTTCAAAATGATCAAACTATGCAATCACTATACCACGACCCAAGTTAACTGTACTAGTATTATCAAAATTATTAAAACTAAAGGCAAATAAAGTTCTATCAACAACTAAAGGGTCAATTTTAGTTTTAGAGAGATAAACAAAGTCAAGCTCTTGATCCTTTAATAGTTGATTATGTCTTTAAACTATCATATCTTTCTTCAATCCTTGATAGTTCTAGCTTAACATTTTCATAGCTCCCTATGAATCTTTATTAAGGCCACTTCCTTAGCCCTTTTAACATAAATTTGAGTGATACTTGAGGGAGAATCTTCATATTTCCTTTTAACTTGTCGATTTATATTCTTAATTTTCTTTCTTTTTGGTATATTGGGATGACAATCATCATACTCAAAAGATCTAAATCCCTTGACATTGATGTGATTCACCTTTTTCTTGAACATTCCAAATTGCTCTCCACGAGAAGGAGGCTTTGTAATATTTATATACTTCTTTTTTAAAAAAGAATTAATTCTCATAACCATATCATCATCCTTTTGAAGAATGCTTTCCTTATACTATTGACCTTGTTTGGTGGTTGATTGATTCTCATTTTGATTGTTGGAATTCATGTTTTTCTTAACCCAACAAGTTTTAGGGGATATGACATAAATTATTTTTCTTTCTGATTTTAGAGAAGACCTACAAGGCTTGTAAATTCCCAAGACTAATTTTTTTTTCAAATAAGAAAAGCACAATGAGCTTCAAGAGCCACTTAGAGGATCTGATCCTTCTCGAAAATTTCATTTTCCTAATCGCTAGTATTGATTTCTTTTCTTTGCTTGACTCCCAAATTCTTGAGACATTTTTCAAAAGGGCTATCAAATGAGATTGAAAAGAGAGATTTGTCTCCTTGTTTTTCTTTTCACAAGCTTGTAAAGATCAAGAGGGTTCCTCAATATTTATAATCTGTGCAAAGACAATTCCAATTTTTTATGATTCATATGATTTCAAAAACCAACGAACATAGTTTGTGGGTTTAGTAAAAATCTTCCAAGAGCCTTAGGTACATGTGATGAATGATTTAATTGATATGCTAAACATCTATGACCAACGTAAATTTACAATGCAATACCATGCAATGATTTATGATTCCACTAATTACTAAGACCAACCAAAAGATAACCAAGGAAAGATCTACGCCAAAGAGTAGTGATTCTTAACCATCTACAATTGCCAAAGTATGCTTAGTAATAGAGATATGGATTCTCTTCTTGTTGATCATTGTAAAGTAAAGATGTTGATCATAGGTCTTTAAATCACATTCACAAAAAGAGATAGCTGTGAGAAAATAGTCCCAACACAATGTTTTAAAAATTAGAATCAGAGAAGCAAAAGATTATTAATGAAGAGAGACAAAATTGCACTTATGAGAATAAACTATAATCATAATAGCCAGAACATAGGAGTAAAATATGAGCCATAATTGAAATCACAGACCAACAAATAATTAAAAGCTAGAAACCTTGCATATAAAAGATGCAAACCTTCAATTTTCCTTCCCTCTCTTGAATGATGAATATTAATTGTGAGTATCTTTTTAACAAAAAATCAATTCTTAATTAACCATGTTATAAACAACTATCTCCTTTTATCAAAAGGTTAAGGGTCAATGTTACCCCTAAAGTATACACAAAAGGTCACAAATGACTCTAAACTCAACTATAGGTCATTTATATCTCTCAACTTTAAATATTTTGTGCTCCATTACCCTTTTACTTATCAGTTTATTTTTTCCTGTCAGTGGGGCCTACATTGAAATTTTTTTAATATTTTTGTTATAAAATATATTTAGCTAATATTTTTTATAAATTATTATTTAGTGGGTCTACTATTTTTTATATTTTTTAATAATATAAAAAACTCTATCTCTCTCTTCCCTCTCTCTCCCTTTCCTCATCCTTCATTGCTTATGCACAAAGTCCTTAAGCTTTTTATTGGAAGCTCGATTGAAGATAGGAAGAGGTTTAACATGGGCAATAGCCTTCATCCACGACAAGAAATAAGTCCATGGCAACATTAAACCCTCTAACATCTACTTCAACTCGGACATGGAACCCATAGTCATCGACTTCAGCCTCAACTGCGTCCTCTGTAACTCTAACAACTTCAACCTTAGAACTAATGGTTCATCTTGCTCTCGTCAGATAGCCAACCAAACCCAACAACCTTGCTCCTTTCCTTCTCTCCATCTTCTCTCTCTCCCCCTTCCCTCACCCTCTTTCTATCACCCTTCCTTTCCTTCTTTGATTCCTCGACCCCTTCCTTCCTTTATTCACTTCTGCCCCCGCTTTACTATTGAATGCACATCATGTTTGCCTTTTGCTTTCTCGACTCCTTCCTCCCCTCCTTCATACACCTCAATGGGTATTTCAATCTTCTTCACCATTGACAACCACCTCAACATCTCTCTCTGGTTCTCATAAAATAGAGCCTTCATCTTTTGCTTCCTCTCATCTTTGTTGCACATACATGCCTTCTCGAGAACCTATATTTTGAGATGAAAACTAAGATGGATTATTCTCAAAGAAATTACTTCTTAAAGCAGAATGGAGGAGAGAGAGTAGAGACTAGGATGGTTGTTGGCAATGCCTTTACCTTCAACCTCTCTGGAGCTTCCTTCGCATGGAAACCATGTAAAGAAGGAGAGTGGGGTGAAAGAGAGGAGAGAAGGAGATGGAGACAGAGGGCGAGAGTAGGGTGAGAGAGAGCAAATGAATGGAGCATAGAGAGAGAGTTTTTTATACTATAAAATATATTAAAAATGTGGGACCACTAAATAATATTTTATAACAAAAATTTAAAAAAATTTGAATGTGGGCCCTACTAACCAAAAAAAGCATGGATAAAACTAAGATGGTGGCGAAGAGAGGGTAGTTGCCATCAATGTCAACGCTGACCAAAAACTAAGATGTGTTATTCTCAAAGAAATTTCTTTTTAAAGCAGAATGGAGGAGAGAGAGTAGAGACTATGATGGTTGCTAGCAATGCCTTCACCTTTAACCTCTTTAGAGCTTCCTTCGTATGGTAGGCATGCAAAGAAGGTGAATAGGGTGAAAGAGAGGAGAGAGGGAGATAGAGGGCGAGAGTGGGGTGAGAGAGAGCAGATGAATGGAGCATAAAGAGAGTTTTTTATAGTATAAAATATATTAAAAATGTGGGACCCATTAAATAATATTTTATAATAAAAATATTAAAAAAATTTAAATGTGGGCCCTATTAACAAAAAAAAAGCACGGATAAACAACAAGGTAACATAATAAAAAATATTTGAGGTTGAGGGATATAAATGACTTATAGTTGAGTTTAGGGTTATTTATGACTTTTTGTGCATAATTCAAGGACAAATTTGACCCTGAATCCACTTATTAAATTAAACCCACATAAAAGTGGTAATCTTGTTTTGCTTTCAGCTTTTCAATAAATAAACTATATTTAAAGTCATAAAAGGACACTCAATTGTGTGAGCATATTCGTTCTATCTAGTGTTTTTTTATATACTTTTTTATTAAAAAATATAAGATATTTTTAATTTAATCTCAATTTTTAAAAATTAGTTAATTATCTTCCAACTAATGTCATCTTTCTACATATAGCATTATTTAATATGATATTTTACTTTAAAATAAATGTAAATTAATTTATTTATTAAGGGTATTTTTGAAAAAATACATTAATTACATGTTTAGATATTAAAAATACTTTATATTTTTTAACATTCAATCCCTCAAAAAAATTTTATATTTTTAAACAAAAAAATTATGTTATATCCCTCGCCCTTTACATAGACATTTTATTTTGGGTTTCATTTCTCCTCGCCATCTTAAATAGTTATTGGAGGATATTAGGCTTCTACTTTTTGGGTTTGTGACAACAAATATTTTTTAATTTTTTAAAATTCTAATTTGCTTTTTATTGAAAAAAAAATTCTACACAAATTTCGTTGTATTTGGTCTTTGTTCAATTAGGAAGTTTTCATTTCATGAACTAACAAACTATCATCTGAAAAACAATAACCTATATTAATGTTTAAGTAAAACCGAACCTTCTTCTTTATACATGAAAAACAATAATGTTTGAGTTAAAATATGTTCATGATTCATAAATAGTCTAGCTTATTTAAATTAAGCTAATAGCAAAAGATATCAACTAAAACAAATAGAAATAATAGCCACTGGAATGTAGTATTGGCATCTAAAGAGTAAAGACGTCACACTGCTTGCAAAATATACATGCTTTGTGTCTAATGAAAGATATTAATCCGTCTTTAAAAAATGAGCTATTTTACACACTTTTTCCTCATGGACATCATAAAAAGCTTTCGTCGATACCATAGAAGAAGACGAGAAAGAACGAGACGGGGAGAACCTTGAAGTAAGTGGTTTGTTCCAGTAAGCTGTAAGCAATTTGAGCATTCGAAAATCTGGTGGGGGTTCGATCCTCGATATGCAGGTTTAAGGAAACAACTGACGTTCTATAAGCTCCCCGTACTAGACAGCACCCCCCTTTTCGTTCCCTTTCCCGGGCTCTCATTTCTGTAATATTGCCAGGGAAAAGAAACAATGGCGCAACTTCAAGTCCAGGTTCTTCATCCCTGCAAATTACACTCCTGCAAACTCACTCACATGACCTCCTTCTCTCAGCCCCCCACCTTCACACCCTATTCTGGAAGATCCCTCATGTTGCCTAGTAGAACTTTACTTCTGTATCCCCGGTTCGTGCTTCAATCCCGCACTGTATGCAAAATGAACGGATCAGGTATACCTTACCCTCTTATATATAGTATTGCATCAATCATGGTTTTCATTCTGTTTCCTATCAAATAATGCCTTTTTACTTGTTGGGAGAGGGGATGGCTGTCTCGAGCATTTTCACATATAGTTAGGGTGCAATGGTAAAAGCTGCTAATTGTGAATTGCATATCTTGTAATTGCTTTTGTCTTTGGTTTGAAAACTATGCGTACTTCACAAAGCGTTTCCAAAACTTGAAGTATGCACTATTAACTACCGTTGCTCATGCCTGATGAGAATTAAGAATTCGGAATCCCGGGTTCTCTCTGAAATGAATTTTTAGATGCATTTTGCTTTAGATGTTTCTCTTCTGTGGCAATCCCGCTTGTTGCAACCATGTTTGTGCTTCTGACCAATGTTGAATCCGAATATAGAAACATTTTAGCAGCCTTACATAGATTTGGTTAGATATGATTTCACAGCTGGAGCTTGGAAAATCTGGGGACGGAAGGAAACCGGAGAGACGAGTGAACGGGATATTCTGGATCATACTCCTTAATATTGGAATATTTGTGGCAGATCACTTCTTTCAGGTATGCAATTTTCCTTACTCTTGATATGTTTGTAGGTGCGATTGCGCAACTGCACTAGTACACGTCTTTCTGAAAAACAGGATAAGAATTCTACTTTTACCAGCCTTAATTGAATTTACATAAACTAAATAAGCAACTTGAATCTGTATAGCATGGTTTGGTCCTATCATGGAATTTTTCTGATGCATCACATTAAAGCTTTATATAAATTTTTGCTAGGTTCGTAGCATTAAAGCTTTGTACTTGTACCATAACCGGCCAGCTTGGTATCAGTTTCTCACTGCTACATTTTGTCATGCTAATTGGTGAGTCCTATGTGATTTCTGTATCCATGTAAGCGTTGCATTTCAGTTCTGTTTAAATTTATTTACATATGAACTTCTAGAATAATTATTTTGCTCTCAAGCCAATGCAAATGAAGAACTCTATCTCATTTTACTGGCTAACTACTACCTTAACATGTGAACTTGTTCAGGAATCATCTCTCTAGCAACCTTTTCTTCTTGTACATTTTTGGTAAGGTATCACTCTTTTTTGTGCTCAATGAATGGGACATAAATGGAACAAGTGCTCAAGCGTTTAGCATAAACAGGTAAATTAGTTGAAGAGGAGGAAGGGAACTTTGCTTTGTGGCTTTCTTACATTCTCACTGGTGTTGGATCAAACCTTGTTTCATGGTTGGTTCTACCGCGAAGTGCAGTTTCTGTTGGGGCTTCTGGTGCAGTTTTTGGATTATTTACAATCAGTGTCCTTGTAAAGGTACCAAAATAGTATGGTGAAGTTGGTTGCCCTTTAGTTTTCAGTGATGCTTTGAAGTCACAACAGATTTACTTGACGTAGATTTCATGGGATTGGAGAAAGATTCTTGAAGTGCTTATATTGGGGCAGTTTGTGGTGGAGAAGGTGAGCAGGAGAAACAAATGCTTGTGCTTGCCATGCAGAAGTATTTTTCACTAAAATATCAACTTATACTTAATTCTTTGCATTATTTTTTCACCTATTTAATTGTTTATAAAACTAAACCAGATGTTTTGGTTGCCATCTGAGCAATGCTTGAACCAGTAGAGTAGACTGTGCCATTTCTGACAGATCTGTTCTGGGTGAGCCTCAGGTTATGGAAGCGGCTCAAGCTTCAACCGCATTACCAGGTACCTTTCGTGGAGGCTACTTGATGCAAAGTGTCAATCACATTGCACATCTTTCTGGGGCTCTTGTTGGCGTGCTTTTGGTCTTGCTTCTTAGCAAAGTGCCCTCTGATCCTCCAGCCCAAGTATCCACTTTGCCTAAGAAAACGGGAAGAACTCCGTAGGCAATGTTTTTAATTTAATCAGTCAAATATTTCAAATCAGAAGACTCATGTTCTCTCACTTCATTTGTCATTCTTAGAAAGTATATACAATAGAAATTTATCATGCGCAGGCATTGTCTTGTGATGAACGTTTGCTTTTGGGGAATAATAAGATGAAATGGCAAAATTGGGCTTGAAAGAAGATTTATGTAAGCACTTTTTGTTCGCATCTCTGCGTGTTATGCGGAGTGGAAATAAAGTCGCTTTGTTTTTTTCAAGTCAATTGCGGAGAATAATGTTGCATACAAAACTGTTATAAACATCATTAAGAGCGGCACTTGGAACGCAGACACCAAGCTAGAGCTTTCTTTATTCCTGTCAAGATCCGATTCATACCTTCTCTCAAGAAGATTTGTGCAGCCTGAGCTCAAGTAATCCCCATTGATAATGATTTTATGACTTATGGATACAAGCGAATGTACACATCAACAACAAAAATATTGTTCTTTTACAGAAAAGTGATGCCTTCTTCCACCTCCAACCCACTCCAACACTCGGGGTACAGGAGTCACGCAAGATGAGAAGCATGTTTTGGCTACAAGAAAATGTGAGCAGCGTGAAGATGTTCTGACTATTTACCTCGAATGACTGATTTTGTTCCGTCGAATTTACAATGTCGTTGCATCAGCTATTCTTTTTTCAGTTCAAGAAAACTGCTGTGCATGAATTTGCAAGTTGGTATGTGCCGTGCTGCCCCTGAAACTGTCTCTGGCACATAATCGAAAATCCTTCACTGGCTCTACAAGTTTGAGAAAGACGCTTGAATTTTGATGGGAGCAACGAGCTTTCCAGATCAACATCTCTCAAGAGCAATCGGCTTCTCCTGGCTGCTGAAGCTGAGCATCTTTGATCACTGGTACCTACAGTTGGTATCTGTAAGAAACCAGAGGAAAGGGCACTGGTATAGCGCTTTTGATAAACTCTCTCAGAGGTTTCAGCTGGTATTTCTTCATCTTGCTCCACTGAATGCGTCATTGGCTTGTTTTTTTCAGTACGTAGTAACCTATTTGCCTCTTCTGTTAATCCAGCATAACACCAAGCTTCTGCAACAAGTGTGATTGTATATTTCTTAGGAAGGACATGAAACTCTTTCATTATTTGGAGAATTCCTTCTGCTTTCCACGGCTGTTTTGCTTCAGCATATCCTGAAATGAGGGTCTCAAAAGTCTTCAAATTTGGAGAAATCCCATATCCACACATCTTGTCGAAAATCCTGATAGCATAGTCCATCCTGCCAGCACTGCACCATCCACTTATGACAGTTGTAAATATGACAACATTAGGGGATACACCTGATTCTATCATGGCAGTTAGCAATTCTTCTGCCTTTTCTGGTTCTTGGGCACGCACGTAGGCTTTAGCAAGAATACTGTAAGCATGTGCATCTGGTTCTACACCAGATTTCAGCATGTCATTGAAGACTTCTTTACATTTCTCCAAGAATCCAGCTTGGCTCCAAGCATTCATTATAGTACTATATGTGACCACATCTGGTTTGATCTGAAATTCTTCCATCAACTGTAAAACCTGTAAATAGAATATAGATTATTCACCATGAGTTAAAAACCTAATCATGTAATGTACGGGAGTGAGAAAAACAAATTAAGGCAAAATGGACTTGTATAAGTTAAAGTGCTGAGACTGCGATCCACCATGCTGCGGATATCAAAACTAGCAAACGGTGTTTTGCTTTTCTTTTCTTTTAATCTTGAAGCAAAAGACGCGTTAGATGATTGCACAGAAGAAATCAATTTATAAATCAATTCTGCAAAGCGTGAAGCAACAAGTCCAAATTGGCGATTGCCCTTCAGAAGTTTAAATTATCATAGCAACATAAAATTGCAAAACTGCCTCAGCAAGAATCAGTGTGACTGGAATTCAGATGATGGAGACAGAATACAACATTGGAAACATGAATAAAATTATTGCCAGTGGCGAATAAAAGACGGGTCTTTCACAGAGAGATGTGTTTTGCAATGTTCAAATACTCAGTTGCTAGCTGTTATATCTTCATTCCTGTTGCTTCATGCTTTACCCTAATATGAATTATAAAATGGATATCAAGAGAATAGAAGGTGAATAGTCCGTTGTTCATTCTATTCTATGCTGTATACCCTCCAAAATAAGAACCATAGGCATTTTGAGATAAAAGGATAAAAAATCGTAAGTCTAAACTTACCTCATCGACACCATCTCTATCCATCATGTCCACAAAACTATTTATTAGGGAATTGAACAAAACGAGGTTTGCTTGCAGCCCCAGCTCCTTCATCCTGTACACAAACCTCAGAGCTTCCTTTATTTTACCTTCCCTGCAGTATCCGCTGATAATGATGCTGTAAGTTCTTTCATTAGGCCTCACACCATAATTCTGCATCTCTAAAATCATTGCTTCGGCCTTAGCTGTCTGTCCGTTCTGAGCATAAGCCGTAGCCATTGTGTTGAAAGTAACAGTATCTGGCTGCATTCCTGATGCTGCCATTTTATACACCACATTCCATGCCTCAGACATGTTCTTTTTACACCATGCTCTAACGAGCACATTATATGTCTTGAGATTGGGTTTCACATTTCCCTCTCTTGTGATCACGTCCAGTAGCTTCATTGATTCTTCAGGCTTGCCAGCAATTCCATACCCTTTGATCAATGTGTTGTAAGTGCTAATGGTAGGTATTATTCCACTGTCTTTCATCTTCTGAAATGTTTCCATGGCTTCCTCCATGTTCCCAGATTCTGCAAATGCATTTGTGAGAGCATTAAAAAATACAGAGTCAGGCTTCATCCCTTTTTCTTCCACCTGTGAGACAATGGAATGTATGGACTTGAAGCATTTTTGGATGGTCAAGGCATTTAACAGGGTTGTGTATGTTACTAAAGATGGTTGGTGCCCTTCTTTAATCAGATTTTGAAAAATGGAACTGGCTTCCTGTGGTTTTCTTCTATCTATCAGCATATTCATTAATTTTGTTCTTGAGCGCACAATACGGCAACTATTTTTTCCCATGCAGTAAATGCAGATGGGTTGACTTTCTGAATCTGCAGCTTTAGCGTTAGTAAAATGGTTCACTGAACTCTTGTGGTCGTCAAGATGATTCCCCTATAAAATTAAATACCAACGTGTAATCAATTTTGAGCAGTACTGACTTCATCTGAGCTGCTGCATGTAAAGCAGTATTCTGACATATTTTATAAACATTATAAAGACATGTAAGTTATTTTAGCTTGAGTTGTTTTAACACACAGAAAGAGCAGTTGATTGACTTTTTTTGCCCTACCAAGGTCCAAAGGTCGCTGAAAACCAGAGGGCCAGGGCATTGGAAAATCCTTTGACATGGCAAATAATTTAGCATGTTACTAATCAATCATAACTACAGTTAACTAACATTTTCTCAAAATAGTTGAATCATTGCTGAAATTAGCGACAGCTAAGACAACTATAGCTTCTATTCACCAAGAAGAAACTAGAGGCTTTACATTTTTAGGCTTCTTATTTCCTTTTTCTTCACAATAGGAACTTTCATACTGTCTTAAATTATCTTGCCTAATATGCTTGGACTAATTAGATTGATATCCATAGAATATTTCTGGAGCACGGGGCAAATTTTCTACCTCTAAATGGACAGGCACAAAAATGGAAATATACCTGCGGCTTACCAGCAATTTAATAAAAAGCTAAAGAGCTATATTAACATATGGCAGAAACTTTTCCCACAGGAATTTGCCTCGTCAAAGTTTTTCGAAAGTTGACAATAGTTGTACCCTCGAGGAACATGTTGTGGTAAGATTAGTGCCTACTATTGCTATTTACATCATATATAAGTAATCATGACATGCGGATACTTCATACTACTTAGTAATTTAGCATTAGAGTTTCTCAGATATAGATCCAATTGAGCTATACAGCAATAGCAATAACAACAAGTCTTATCTCACAAAGTGAGGAATTGAGCTATACAGCACAAAGCCAAAACTTTGAAGCAGTAGATTGGCAACAGCAATATTAGCCGTTATATTTATACCTTGACTGACACTGGTTGAACCCATCCTTTCTTCATGATGGTGATTGTTGTTTAGTTTCTGTAACATATTCCATAAAAAGAACGATTATTTCCAGGATTTATAATATTTTTCCTTCAGTCTCTTAAGTCAACATCAACTGCTTTGACTATCAAGAAGGTCAAAACTTATTTTATGTTCATCTTCATGTTCTCACAGAATTTTACAGGCGTAAAACACGTTTATACCATCAAGTTTGAGACAAAATAAACAAACATTGCAAAGGGAAGCATACTGGAGCAAACTGAAGAATAGGGAATACGGTCGCTGGCTCACACACACACACACACACGTCCCTAACCAACTCAATGATGCAGCTCAAAAGGGTGTTTGGTCTTTGACTTCTTTAATTATATGACCATAATCTGCATAGAAATTAATAAACTTCATCTCCCTTGAAAGCACAAAGCACTAAAATTTACAATCAGACGAAAAATGATAGGGCAGCAGAGCAATGCCACTATGACGGTGTCATTTAAAATTTGTAGACTGAAAGTTCAAGTAAAAATAAATCCATATAAATTTCCAAAAAGTTAAAGAACAATCCATAACCAACAAGCAAACTATTATGCACTGCTGAGTGCTGACGGTATTAGCGTAGGATCTGTGAAGGACGAAGAATTACGCCTTTTTTTTTTTAATATGCTACCAGAATCTTGATGTAAAAGAAAAAACACAATGGAGAGTAAACGTAGATTGAGATGGATTCTGTGAAAAAGAAAGACAATCTCGGGATGGAAACCGCGATAAAGAAAATGACCCTACAAAACACTTGAGCAGAAACGTTGTCACCTGCTGAGGCAGAATGTGCAGGTAGTAACAGGAAATGAAGGATGAGAGAAGAGACGAGAGGCAATGAGACGGGTCGGATTTTGGATTGAGAAGACCATAGTTGAAATAGTGCCGAGAAAGATGCCCGAACTCTTTTTTTTTTTTTTCTCGGAAATATATTATCCACAAAAGAAGACGTGTGACCATAACAAAACGATAGGTCAGGAAGAGAGGATGGGATAAGGAAGAAGAGAGTGAGGTAGATCTTTCTGACAGGACGTCCCTTCCGTTTCTAGTTGGTCCCCTTCCTTGGCCATCCTTAGTCACTACTGCCTCTTGTTAATTGGTTCGGTATTTTTAGTGGACTAATTGGTTCAGTGTTGAGACTGAGTATTACAGACAAGAATGATTTAATTTTTTATTGTTGAAAATAAATAACAAGAAGATAATTAGATATCTACTTTAGTTTCTTCAACAGTGATAAGAATTACTTTCTTTCTTTGAAAATATAAGACATGTTTTAAGGGTTGAATGTTATATTTTTAATCCTTTAAAATATAATTGCTGTATTTTTTAAAAAATATTCTTATTGAATAATTTATTTTATATTTATTCTAAAAAAATATCTCATTAAATAAGAATAAAGATAAAAAGATAAGACTAATTTGAAGACAAATGAAATTACAAATATCTTATATTTTTTAATAGAAAAGATAGTAATTAATAAATTTTCAAATAAAAAATGATATTTGAATGAATTTTTTAGTGGATTCTCTCTCTTTGTGTGTGTGTGTTAATTAAGGAGTATGAAATTAGAGTAAAAGAACAAGCCAACTTCCATTAATTCACGTCCAGTAACTGTTTCTTGATTGTGCTTGTCTTGTATGAAAAGCAGAGTCAGGCATTAGATTATACTATCCGTAAAAGTTTCTTATTTGATTGAAATCATATAAAATGACAATAATTTTTTTTAATTTTGTTCTTAATAATATTACAATTAATATCATGATACATGATAGTGAGCAGAGTACATAGTTAATATCTCTTTTATTTTTTAAAATAAAAATAAAATTATTTAATTATTTAAAAATATCATGACACTCTTCCTTATATTTAGAAAGAAAATAAACTTTTAAAAACACTACATGAAGAATAGAGTATGCATATATTCACAGTTTTTGTTGTTTCTACTGTGTGATATTTTCTTTGCTGAAAAATATAAAATATTTTTAATTAAACTTCACTCTTCATTAAAATAGTTAGTTATTTTTAAACTAATATCATATTTTCATATTGACCTCTATTTAATAAGACGTTTCATTTTAACATAAATATAAAGTAATTTATTTATTATAAAAACGTTTAGAAAACACACATTAATTATACTTTAAAATACTAAAAATATTTTATATCTTTTAATATTTAACCCCTTAAAAATATCTTATATTTTTTAACAAAGCTGTAATGCATTTTAATTTTATTATATATTATCATGCATTTCCAATAAAAAAATTAAAGAAAATAGAGAAGGACAAATAAGGTCCATATGCTTGTTTAGCAACATATTATGAAATAGTTTTCTATCCTCTGAAATAAAATAACAAAAAAAATATTTAGAGATGTATTTTTAAAAAATAATTTAAAAAATAAAATATTATTTTAGATAATAAAAAATAAAAATATTTTTAAGCATTTCAGGATTATTGCCTTAAAAATAAAAAATACAAAAAATATATAATTTTATTTTTTTTATTTTTAAACCATGGTCTACAAAATCTCATTTTTCATAATAATAATAAAATAAAAGGAGTTTCAAACAAGCTTCAAATGCTTCTGTCATTTTTTTTGTATTTTTGGTAATAAAGAATTGTTTATTTCTCTTTTGCTACAGTTTATATGGAGTCGATAATTTGAACAGGTGGGCTCAATTTAAGCCAAACTTATTCAAATCAAGTTTAAAATATATCATCCTATATAAAAAATTTATATAACCAAGTTTGATTCTAACACCTTCAGGTTTTAGGCTTATTCGGGCCAACTTGAATACCTAAAAATTTTTAAAAGTATTTTTTCTTTTTTTAAACCAATTTTCATTTTGAAATAATTTTATTAAGTATTAAATATTATTTTAAATTTAAAAAATAAAAAAATAACAACTTATCAATTTTTTACTTAAGTAACTTTATTACTATTTTGTTATATTATGTATAATTATTTATGAATATTTTTTTACTTGTAAATTAATATTTTAATTATTTAAATATTACTCTTATCATTATTATATATAAATATTTGATATATTTTAATTAAATTATATTATTTTAATTATAATTAAGTTGATTTCAGACCACTAACATAAAATTATTACTCCAATTATTTTAAATTTTTAATAAATTTTGGATAAACTTTACTCTTTCCCTTTAAAAATATAAAAAAATAGTTATTATTAAGTTATATAAAAAATATTTTATTATGAGTAAAATACTAATTTTTTGAATTGCTTTTAACTTTTTATACTACTTAATGTTTACATACAATGTGTATTTACTTTAATTTATTTTTAATTTTTAATCAAGTTTGGATTAAATGATAATCCAAAAATTATTCAAAAATATTATTTTATTTATTATATTTATTTAATAAGTAATAATAGATTCGACAATTCATACATGCTCAAATAATGTATAGAATTTAAAACTTTTTAAAAAAATAATTGAATCTTAAAATATAAAAATTAATATATTTTAAAATATTTTATTGATTAAAAATAAAAAAATATAAATTTTTTAAATTTTTTTTAAAATAACTATCATAATATACTTAAATATATATTATTTTACTATAAAATAATATAAAATTTAAAAAGTTAGTTAATATTTATTATATTTTATATATTTTTTAAAAATATTATTTTTATTTTGGGTTAGGTTCAAATTTTGTCGGGCCCAGGTTAATTTGAATATTAAAAAATGTTTTTTTTTTTAATTGAGTTCTAAATTTTTTAACGGATTTAGATTAATCCGTTAGGTTTAATCCAAATTACTGGTCTTAGTTACAGCCTCCCAAATGTCAACGAGCGGAGGTGCACCGTTTCCAACTTCTCATCTATCTTGTATTTTCCGAGGAATATTGATTTTATCTTCTTCATTTTCCTCTATCCCCGCTCCCAGAAAATGAATCTCTTGTGGGATTTCAATCCCCGGAAAATGGTGTCGGAAAAAAGTCTATCCAAGGCGGAAGGCCATTCATCTTTCATTGCCCCTGGAAAAATACTGTGATTAAGGATTGTGTTAATGATTAATCTTTCATTTATCTACAAAATCCCACTCGTATAATCCTCAATAACATGAATATTGATAATCGATAACACCGTTCATTTGAAATATTATTTTTTTTCTTTCTTTGACTCCGTTTGAATCGGGATATGTTGAAATTGTGGAAATGGTACCAGAGTTGCTTAGCTGTTCACCCAGTTAAGACACAGATGATTAGCTCTGGTTTTATATGGGGAATTGGCGATATAACTGCTCAGGTTATCACCAACTCGGCAATCAAGAACCATAAACGAAACGAGGTATTGTTCCCTCTTGCTTCACTCGAAATACGGATTCATTCATTGCAGGTGTTCTTCACCGTGTAGGCAGAGATGGTAGCCCCCATTTCGTTTGTTAGAATTGATGTTGTGAACGCAAGAAAAGATAATTCTGATTATTCTTCATAAAATTTCTCCATTTTTTGACTGATTGTTTGTTTTAATTTTATGACATTGATAATTTAGTGCAGTCAATATTATGGTGTGAATTATGAAAATTATGAAATGGGAGCCGCAGTTGAAAACTTATTGTTGTTAATCTCACCTCCTGATTAATCAACTTATTTCACTTGGTTAATGGCAATCTTTCTTGTATACTTCAGGATGACGATAAAGAATTTAAGGTCAACTGGAAACGGGTGACTATGATCACCTTCTATGGGCTTGGATTTGTTGGTCCTGTTGGCCACTACTGGTAATAAACATTACTTTTACGGGTTCTATTGCACGTTTTGTCTATTGGGTATGTACAATTTTTGTTTTTTTGTTTTTGCTGCTGGTTACTTTCTTGACTTTGGGATTCCAAATCGGCATTGATATCCTAATTCACCTAAAAATATATAGGATGCTGCTTCAGAAACTTTATAGTGTCACTTCTGTTTCGATCATATTTTCACGGTCCGGTAATGGAAGATGAAAGTTTTGGATTTCTATATTTGTGGCTATACAGCTTAATGATCATTGTTCGTTCTTTCCAGTAGTAAATAATTACTGCTAACGGAGAAACAGTTTGCAGAGTTTCAATTCCATGACTCTTGAAAGGACTCCAATGCTTCATATTTAATCCATTTTCTCTAATAAAATAGATTCTTAGAAACTTCCATAATATCCAAATGACTTACCAATAGGATCGTAGTTCTGTGACTTTCTCATTATCTCATCTGAGGATGGCCAATGGGCAATTTGGATGTATTTTGGATGAGATTGTAAGGGATGGATCAAAATTGACCCTTTGGCAGGTTTTAATCTAGGAAAAGGCTTCTTAGTTTATGCAAATTCATCCATGAGCTGTTTTATGGACAGGTATCCTTCCATCTATTGATCATGTATTTGGATGGATAACCTATCCATCCAATCCACCCATTACTTAAATAGTATATTGAATCGTAATTTGATAATAAACGCTATGATAAATTTGTGCTTGATGATTTTATTTTCAAAATATGCTGCTTGTACTTAAAACCAGCATCTTTGATATTCTGCTCAAGTTTAGATAAAAAAAGCTGAAAAAAATGCTTGTGCGAGTGCTAGTGAAGAATCTTTCTGCGTAAACACATGTGAAGTCTATATGTGCATTTGCGCTCCTGTGCCTGGTTGTTTGAATGTGTAAGTATAGGGGTGCATATGTGCGCATTGACCATGTGGCTGCTTGTATGAGTGCCTTTGAATGCTGACAAGTGATATCTACTTCGTGATCTTCATTTTTATGCTATTTTTTTTGTAGGTGTGAAGGCTTGGACAGATACATGAGATTGAGACTCATGCTCAGACCAAATTCCTTTTGCTTTGTTGCCTCTAAAGTTGCTGTTGATGCATATCTCTACGGGCCGTTGGATTTACTTGTGTTTTTTACTTATATGGGCTTTTCCACGGGGAAGAGTGCTCCACAAGTCAAAGAAGATGTGAAGAGAGACTTTCTTCCGGCCTTGATTTTAGAGGGAGGCATATGGCCATTTGTACAGGTTGCAAATTTTCGTTTTATACCTGTCAAGTATCAACTCCTCTATGCTAATTTGTTCTGCTTGTTGGATAGTAGTTTCTTGTCTTGGATTGAGCAACAACAGGATGCTCCTTGGAAACAGTGGATGAAATCTTTTCTGCCTCTGAAGGAACAGGAGCACCGAAATGAATAAGTTCCTTTCAAATCTGCCATAATTATTTTTTTCACTTCTCCATTCATTGTAAGTGCATGTACATATGATGTGTTTGTGTTTAGCTCAGGCGGTTGGGTGAGTTGGGGTTTTGGATTGTGTACATGTGAATATGTTTAGATCCTGAGTTCCATTGTTGGAATTATAGAAGTCATGAAATCGCTTTCTGCATTTCTCATGATGCGATTTTCAGGCTGAGTACAATTGTTCAAATATTTTTCATTGAATAGATGTTAAGTTGATTTCAGCCATTGCGTTTACTAGTCTAGTAGTCATTTCTCAATTTCCTAAACTCACAGTACGCTTTGGGAGAGAGCAGTTCAATTATTAGTCTTTTCTTCCACGTTTTATTCACCGAAAAGATATAGATCAAATATAACGAAACATAATAAGATCTTCTTTTTTTTTAATTTGGTAAATCGAGTGTTATGATAGAAACCTTAAAATTCCACGGGATGAGCTGTCAATGGGAATAAAATCAAAGCGCAAAAATCTGCATTCAGTAGCAGTGCATCATCCACCATGGAAGTACATAATATCGACATAACTGTTTGAAGTCATCCCAAAACCTGGTAATGGAGTTCATGTCAGTGAAGTTGAGACTTGAGAAGAGCAAAACATACTATCTAGATCGTATCAACCACACAGGAATCTAATTCCACAAGAATCATCATTTTCTGAAACACACGTTAAGCGTACAAATCTTGACCAAAACATTTTTGTTTGGACGACCCCATCAGGTGCTACGTAACACCAGCTGATTTCATGGCTTCCGTTATTGAATCTACTTTTTCATGCAATCCCGCTCTTCTATAGCCAGATATCAACAAATCGTAAGTGGATCTGCTGGGCGTATAGCTAGTCTCTATACATTCCAAGAATATGTCTAGCCTATCATAAGCTTCTCTTCTGAAGTATGAGCAGATAACCTTTTCAACATCATCTATACTTGTGAATGATAGTCCCTGTTTCAACATTCTTCCCACGGCAAACTCTACATCATCCAATCTATCCAGTTTGGCATACATCCCTATAATCCCACAGTGAATTCGGGAGAGAACTACATCGTTAATAGGATGGGACTTCATAGTTTCAAGCAGCTCCTCCATCTTTTTCACTTGCCCAAATTCTTGATATAATGCCATTAATTTATCAGTCATGTTTTCATTGATCTCCCATCTGACACTTGCCACAAACTTGAAGAACTCCTCAGCTCGACCCAAACTCTTTTGCTTGCAAAGCCCTTCAAGCATATTTTCCAGAATGGATATGCTAGGTATAATTCCCGATGCCCTCATTTCTTCATAAATTCCATCGGCAAGTTCAAAATTGTTTGATTTGATACAGCCTGATACAAGGGATTCAAATGTTTGAAGGTCAAGACCAAACCCAGCAGCTCTTTTAGCTGAGTACCAAGCTAGCATGGCATCAACGTTCCCTGAAATTGAAAATGCTGTAATGAAGATGTTGTAAGTATGAAAATCAGGTTCATAGCTCTCTGAACTTTCCATGATCTCAAATAAGCTAAATGCTGTAATGATGTTATGTGAACACAAGCAGGCATTTATAAGGGAATTAAAAACGAGGGATGTGGGTTTAACTCCATTAGCCTCCATAGAAGCAAACGCTTGCATAGCGAGTGACACATTCTGAAGCTTGGCACAGAGAAATATGAATTCGGAGAAGGCACTGTGATTTCTTTCATTGTCTTTCAGCAATTTCTCCAAAATCCATTCCAAAACCTGAGCATTCAATACGTAGATAAGTGAGAATATTAATATGAAATCCCAGGAACCAAAATTAGCAGGATGTTTAAGAAAATGAAACCACATTCCATATAAAGATTGATCTCAGATGTTAAAACCATGTTCTACATAAGAATACAAAATCCGGTGAGTGAGAACTCGGAAGCAAAGGAGAACCCCATTTGTTCGAGTTAAGCAGCTAAAATAGATTAGACCCTGAATTCATTTCAATAAATTTAATTGGAGAAAAATTTGTATAAGAAATATTTGCCTCTCCTGATTCTTCGTTTCGATTGATTGTGTCTACCAATATTATCACCGAAGGCGAATACAGAAAAGCCAAAGTCAACAGAATTATCAACGAAGCCAGGAACATTACCAGCCGCGATTTCTCAGGAGAAGAAGGCCTGAGACAGGAAACCAGAGATTCCCAGGAAAATTCGGAGCTTTTAAGGGAAGCCAATTCCTGATCCAGCGTGGGCTTAATGCACGAATTGGATACCCGAAGTAATTTGATAAGCAAAGGATTTGAGCTTGATTCTTTGTGGAAATTCAAATGGTGAGAGCTTGAAGGAAGTGCTAGAAAATTAAACCTTCCAGCGTACCTCTTCCTCACTGATGATAAAACCCTACAAGCTGACGCCATATTTTCATTTCGGCTTCCTGAAGAGCCGGCCTCTCCCTGCAACGACGAAATACCGAGCACTGCTTTGAAATTCCGATAAATCAGTGGAAACTTTATGTATTAAAATTAAAATGAATGAACTTTTATCCCCTCAAGTTACGTGAATTCATCGTTTTGTCACCAACTCTCACAATTTTGATCCCTTCTGAGTTTAGGTTATTTTGTTATCTTAGTATTATCCTTGTATGCTTCTCTAGTTCTATGGGTGTAATTGATATTTCCTTTTTTTTTTTTTAATAACATGACCACGTACAAAATCATGCGAAAGAAAATAAGGATAACGATAATAAAATTTTATTAAAACATATAAATAATAATTAAGTTTCTTGCAATGCAATAATTTATTTAAAGTTTTTGGATACCTGTTGATATTAATAATTTTAAATTAAATGATTAAATTATCTCTTTTTAAAAATAAAAATAGTGGATTTGGATTCATTTTTCAATCACAATTTTTATTTTGTGAATCATAGAAATTAAAAAAGAAATCATAACTTTTTAAATTAAATTTTTCTTATGATTGATAAACAAATTTTGAAATAACTAGCCTTAAATACAACTTTTTTAAGTAATTACAACTTTTATTTTATAAATAGTAAAAATTAAATAAAAAATTATAACTTTCCACATAAAATTTATTTTATTATTGAAGTCTAAGTTTTGAAAATGATCAATCACAATTTTTGTTTAAGCAATTACAACTTTCATCATATAAATTGCAAAAATTGAGTAAAAAATCATAACTTTTCACATAAAATTTCTTTTATTATTAAATTTTAAATTTTAAAAATAACCAGTTACAACTTTTGTATAAGTAATCATAAGTTTTATTCTATAAATTACAAGAAATTATGATGCCTTACATGAACCCGTTATTTTTTAATTTTAAACAAAGAATAATTTAGTCATTTAACTTAAAATGATTAATGTTAAAAAGGTACCTAGAGACTTCAAACAAATTATGATATTTTAAAAAATTTAATTGTTATTTCTATGTTTTAGTAGAATTTTGTTGTCATTTCTTAAAATAATAATAAAAAAGAGACTACCTCAAGTAGGGGAAAACTTGAGAAAAAAAAATTGCATTGTAAGCTCAAAAAATTTTGAAAATGTACTGCAAACTCAAGAGTCCTTGTTGCAATTTTTTCTTGGAGGTAAAAGTACAATTTTCTCTTTAATCAACTTAACAAGCATGAATATTCAATTGAAAATTCATGAACATTGTATTGTGCATAGATGGACATTATGTTGTACATTATCTACATAATTTACACATTTTATTTAACTTATTAATTAACTGGACACGCATGGACTTTGTATTAAAAATTCATAAATATCATGTTGTGTACTCATTAACATTGTGTTGTACATGCTTCACATGTCTATTTTAATTAACCTAGAGATCAACTAGACACTTATGAGTATGGTGTTGTACATGCTCTACGTAACTATTTTAATTGTGTTCAAAATTCATGATTATCGTATTATGCATTCATGTACATTATGTTATATATGCTTTGTGTAACTTATATTTTAATTAACCTACATATCAACTGTATATATATGAAAATTGAGTTTATAATTTATTAATATTGTGTTGAGAATTCATAAACATTATGTCGTACTTCATAGATGAGGGTTTGGCACAAGTTTTGAGTTTTTGAATTACATAAGGGTAAATTTGTACTTTCACCCATAAGAAAAATTGCAACAAAAATGATTAAGCCTGCAATGTATTTTCAAATTTTTTGGAGCTCAAACTGTAATATTGTCTTTTTAAGACCAGCAGTACGATTCCCCAAAACCAACAAGATAAAACTTCTGCACTGTAAGAAAAGTTGTCAAGAGCATAGTTTCCGAACTCAGAAATAACTTACTCATCTCTAAATAGATAGGAACAAAAGAAGTCAAGAGTTAGATCAGTTTATTGTACAGTGGCAAAAAATCTCCCACCGCTTAAAGTCCAAATCGTGGGCTTTTTAATATTTAAAATCATACAAATTTGATCGAATCCATATAAATATTTTGTTTCCATGGAACTTTTTTCAGAGGTTGGGGTTATTTACTATTAGATTATCTGATGGGCCCAAAAAAAAAAAATTCCTCGAACGTCAAAAATATTGGTAAAAAACTTACCTTTCACAAAGGTGACCCCATAGCACTAGCATATTATATCATGGGAAGGAGTGAAGGACAAGTATCGTCAAGCTTCACCGCAAGAAAATAACAGAAAACAGCAATTGAGATTTTCATTACTCCCAAAAACACTACAAAAAGAAGTGACACCCAGAATTTTGCTATAAACAGATGGATTTCGTTGTAGCAGAGTACAATTTCACATTTGAATACAAGGCCGAATGAAATTGACAGTTCATGGTATACAAGGAAAGCCCACATCAACCTCTCCGGACTTGACACCACTCTCAGGCTTTCTCGTAAAGGAGAACATTTGCTATTGGACGGTATAAGGCAACCACAAAATCTCAAGGCAATGGAAATCCGTCGACCATAGTAATCAAGGCAAGCCAAATTTGGACAAAGCTGACTGGAACAATGTCGAGAAAGCCTCAGATGAACTTTGATCATCAGCTTTAATTTTAATTTGTGACTTGGCTGAAGATGTGTTGATTACACACTCTACAAGAAATGTTGATATTTCTTCTGCTTTTTGAGCAAAGAAAAAGTACTTGAAGTTAGGGGACTGACCCCCTGATGCAATGCAGTGTATCGAATTATCTTTCATGTGCTTGAGTAGTGCATTAGGAGCTGTCAAAGAGGCAACTCCTTGAGGACTCATTGCATATTCCTGCAAAACATCGCCAAAGTTATCTTACAACAAATAATCCCTAATGTTTTGGGGAGAGGCAATGGAGCAAAGATAAAATAAAAAAGAGGAGTCATGTATTCGATAAGGGAAGGGGCCAACAAGAAAGGGTAGAGGGCTACGTCAATGCTGCCAATAAAAAAAAATGAAACTGAGATAATAATTTCCATGAAAACCTGAGATAAAGATACAGGCAGTTGGCGCCATTTCTGCTGAAATGTGCCAGGATCCAATACAGCTTTTGGGTTCAGCCTCAAAGGAGGGGGTGAAGGTGTGGCAGCAGTCACACCAACTGGAAAATCTAAACCAAGCAGATCATCAATTGCCAAGCTAGATGCTGGAGCCTGACCCGACATGCTGGCATTGGTAAACACGAGCTCTCCATGTGATTGTGTAGTTGCAGCGGGGCTGGATGAACTGCTGTAGGATGGAGCACTATAGGCAGACCCATTGCCGCCAAGATCTCTACCATCCTCCTTTTCTGCAGTACTCAGAAGCAAATCCTTGTCATTTGCCTCCACACTCTGGGCTGGAACAACAGTATCGGCAGATTCTGCACTGATAGATAGATTTCCAAGCTCATCTGAAAACTCAAATGGCCCTCTATGTTCCTTATCAGTAAACATGTAAGAAGGCTGCAAGAATTTGTTATTGTAAGTTCAAAGAATTTTGATGTACAATGAACAAGACATCTTTTAGAGATGATTTGTGTCAATTAAAAACCACTTGGAGAGGGTAACTACCTACCTTTTGGTACACGACAGACAGACTATTGAACTCATCAAATATGCGATCTTTAACTTCACTGCTCTGAGTGTCAGCAAAGACCGAAACTGCTTGCTTTGGAGGGTTCACCACTCGCTCTGCCACCGATACATTGTATTGCAGAAGCCTATAATAAAATAGAGCTCTATCATGAACATCCTGCAATTAGCAGTAGTTCATTTAAGATAATGAGAACAAGCAAAAATATAATAATTTCTTTGTCTAGAAAATTCAAAGTAGCAACTATTCACACCTGATGAAAATCTGCGAGACCAGCAGCCAACGCAGCTCCCAATGCTTTCTGAGTCTCGGGTGGTCTCTTAAAGAAACACTTCATAGCCGCAGTAAGAAGATGCAAGCGAACCTGCACAATGAGACAGTTGTTCAATAGACAGACGAGAAAACATAAAGACAAGAATGGAATTAGTATATACATGAGAAGAAAGACCACTAAACCACTGAGAAGTCAGTATTTATTCTTTCTTGTCTGTTTTCCTTAACGGGTAGGTATCTCTTTTTTCGGAACCAACATTGTTTGGAGATTAAAACACAAGGAATATGATGATCATTAACGTAGGATTTGAATTATTCATTAAGGAAGATGAGATTATCCCATTTGTGGTGTATTTTCTGCGTTTTCGTTGGTTTTAAGTTTATTAGGATAGAGGGTTCCAACAGAATCCCATCCAAACCCTCCTTCACCTACAACTGTTCATGCACCTAGCAAGGGTTCTTGTTATTAACAGGAAGTTAGGGACTGCAAAGGCAGGTTAGTTTTATATCTTGCTGTTTCCCCACTAAGATTGACAGTCAGTGGCAGCAGAGGGTTGCAGCATCATAAGGATTCTCAAGTGTCAGTTGAAGAGAATATGGCCGTGATTGTGCCACAAATTTGGCCACATACAGAAAGTTGAACTTGGTAGAGAATTTGCCACAGTACATTGGTAAATTCACAAATAAATCCTACAAACTTCTACAATAGATTTGTCAAAATAAATTTACTACACAGCCAGAGGGAATTTTACAAGCACGCACCAAAAGGAAAACATTCTGTGGGGTGAGAACCAGAAAGCATTAGAGACTCACGGTACAGATTGATATGTATAATGAAGTTATTCTTAGCATCACAAAATCTAAATCCAACCAGGATATACAGTTAAAAAAACAAGCAAGAATCAAATACCCAACTTTATTTCACATAACTTAACATCCAAAAGGAAACTACAAATTTCCCATGCTATAATCAACCAACTACAAACCATCATAAGGCAGGCATACTACCTCAGGGGAATGCTCCTCGTCCCAATTTTCAACTAAACTCTCCAAGGCATAAGGAGCATCTTGCATGTCCTGTGAATATTCCCCTAACATCCATATAAGAGCTGCCTTGGCCTTGGGTTCTTGGACATTTTTGCTACTGATATTCCCAACAACAGCGATACAATCTTGACTCCATTGTGGATATTTTCTTAGCAGATCTTTCACAAGCACCTGTGCAGAACAACTCCGGATAGTATTAATCCATCCTCCATAATTTAGCCAAACTAAAATGGCATTCTTTCCATCTTTTGCTGTAAATAGAGAAAACACTGCACTATAGTTAGGCACAATTCCTAGCATCTAGTGGACAGACTGTCGTGTTTACCAGAGCTTCAGCAGTGACATAGTCCTTTTCCATTTCAAGAAACTGTAGAAGTCGATCAACAATAGCATTGACATCATACTGCTGCAATGCTATCTTCCCAACGGCTCGAATTGACTCCCTAGCAATTGGAATATCAACATTTGCAGCATATTCACATAGTTCCGTCACTGAAATGGACCCAGGAAGGTCAAGCATGAGTCACGCTGAAGACTACATTTCAATTTAGAAAAACATGAGCAAAGGAATTAAGACCATGGATCAGAATATTAAACAAAGATATTTGGCAAATTAATTTTGGTTTTCCCCCTTTCTTTAGGACAGTTCTCGGTGTCAGAGGAAAGACATTGGGAGGAGTTCCTCACCTATCTCATAGGTATTGCTTTCATTTGCCACTGCAGTCAACATTTCAAGTTTCAATTTTTTGACATAAGATGGCTCATTATACTGACAATAGAAGTGTTTGTAGTCTGTGGAAAATATATAAGGTGCACGCATCACCAAGAGGTGCAGGTGGCTTAAAACCGCATAAGATTGTTCTGAACTTCCTGAACTCACTAGAGTTAAGAGAGGAGCTTTAATACGCTCATATACCTATCCCAAAAAAATTGCATCAGAAATCACAGCGCTTCATGTAATTAAAAAAAAAATGATATAAGCAAAAGGAAAATTTAGGAAGACTAAAAAAATCTGCAAAATTACACAATCCAAAACATCGTTTCAGATAAAATCCATCTTTGCCAAGATATCATTTTTTACTAACATAAAATTGGAATTAATTGAAACATGGAGACTGGATAAGGGGCACAACACAGGATAGAAACAGACACAAAAATATCCAAAACATGGGAAATAATTTAATGGTCTCGCTAGCTAAAAGTGAAGTCCTTGTCAAATGCAAAGCATCGCCCATACAGAGGACTTGATGGATCGCAAACTCACCAAAATACAGTTCCTTCTGTAATGTGAAATATAGTTAACTTGAGATAATAACAAGAAACAAGCTAGACAAATACCTGCTGATGAACGTCAGCCATAGACAAAGTCAACTGCAGAAATACTTTAGTAGTTGCCAAGACAACAGCACCATTTGCATGCTGCAATCTATCTTCAAGGAGATTCATGATATCAAATATTTCATTGCTATCTGAGGGAACATACTTGGCTGCCAACTCCAGTACAAGACACTGAGCCCATTCACTGAATTCTTTAATGCTGTATGTAGAAAAATGTAATGAAAGAACCAGTTACAAATGCTGTGCGTGCGCATGAGTGAGAGAGAGAGAGAGAGATGGAGAGAATTCAAGTATGCATTTTACAGTTCAAATGACCAGATTCTGCATAAGCATCAAAACTAGGGTTCTCTTTCACATATGTCTATATACTATAAATCCACGTTTCTTTGAGCACAAAGAACCAGAAAGCACCTGTTACATTATACAGTATATATAAATCAGTGCAGTAGAGAATACATATGAATGCTGTTTCTTTTCTTTCTTTATTCGTGCGTGCTCTAATTTCTTAGTGAAAAGACATTTCTGAGCAGCAGCCTTTCTTAGGGAAAAAAGAAAAGGAGTTTTGCACCAAACTTTATCTAGTAGAGTTCATTAAAATGTCTGAGTAAAGATCTACTAGTAACAGCTTACCGGTTCAGAAGGTAATATACAACTGGCTTGCTAAGCAGAGTTTCTCTCTCCCTGGCTGCTTCCTCGGATGTACTTGCCTCTAAGGTCCAAATCTCTTGTAAAGCAGACAAGCAATTTGCGACCACCTGACGAAACAATGCATATGAAAATTAAAGATAGCAGAAAAGCTAACATAACCACTATAATAAGCAAGGTATAATTTTGTTTAGATGACTGTTATCACTAAAATATAGGGAAGTTGCAATAGATCAGTTGTCTCCATCCTCCTAGTGAAATTTATTCCAGCATAAAGTATAGTAAGCCAGTGCTCTATCCATGATTCATGCCTAAAGAGTTTTTGCTTGAAGGATCATGGCAGAAATATTAAGAACCAACTATGGACCTTCACCGAACAAGCTTTTGTATAAAATGATCCTTGAATAAGAAAAACTGTGGAACTGGCTCAAAGGTATCATTTTGATGATTTTTTTTTAATACCCATCATCATGATTCTCTTTAAAGTTTTTTACTATAATACCCTCTATTAAGCTATATACAAATATATTTTGGTCAAATAATTTGAAAAAGGAATAAATGATAAGGTTTTTTTTTTTTTTTGGGTTTCAAGTATGGTTTGTGCAAATTTGAAAAAAAAAAAAAATAAAGGATACATTTGTGTAATTTCACTAAAAACTCTTGAGTAATTTGTGTGATTTTCTGAAATCCTTAATCATTTGAACTATGTAGACAGTGTTAGGTCTAGGCAAGAGTCTTCGCAATTTAAAGAGAAAAATAAGAAATCATGGCCTAAGCATGACAGTAAGTGGAACTGGCATCGCACCTGAGCATCTGGGTCATGAAGCATCAAATGCTTCAATGTTGATGGAAAATCCGCATCAACACAGGTGGAAGCTGATATATGATACAGCTTCAAAACCCCAATAACTGCCACCATCCTGACATAGCTATTACTGTCCTTCAACCCTGATCCTAATGGCCCAACCAAATACTCCACCAAGTTTGCCACTCTAAGGGAACACAAGCTCCTCAAAGCTAGTCCTCGTATCATCGGATCTTCATCTTTGCAATCTCTTTGTAGAAAGTTGATTGTCAAAAGTGCAAGATCAGGATTGACCCTTGCATAGTTCCCAACATATAGGTAGCACATTTTCTTCAGAACAATATCTGATGCTGCTGAGCACATAACCATCTCACCAAAGAGAGGCGAGACATCAATACCTATTGTCATGTAGGAAATCACCTTCTTAAAGAGCTCCCTCTTGGAATCATCAACACCTGGAGCTCGGCTCCCAGCAAGCTGACGGAGCTGTGATTTTAGATCAGAGACCTCACCTTTCCTGGCCAAATTAATATTGCATGAGTTTACAGACAAGGCATGCCATCAGAAAGAATGGATAATGTACCACAAGAGAACTGTAACAGTTATGGACTGAGAGAAGCATACGCAAATTCCCAAAAAAAGGTTGAGCCGTAATAACTAAAGAACAAATTCAATGGAACCAATACAGTAAATTGATTTTACTATTCCAAACAAGCTTCCAAAATGGAGAAACTGCGGTGATTATCGAATGTTGGCCCTATACTTGGTTGCTATCGAACTTAAAGCATGCAAGTACACCGAGATTAATCAAGCAGTTTATGTATGTGGAGACTACTTAGGACAAGAATTAAGTGGCATGCGACCTTAATGTTCCCGACAGCCAAACGGAAGTTAAGCGTGCACTATTCAATTAATTGAAGATGTGGAATAAGAAGGAACCTAGAGTCAAAATCAACCGAATTTGAAGATATGGAATAGCAAGGGTGCCAATTGCCATGCAATTGCTTCCACTGATGAGTCTAAATTATCAGTTGTTCAATCTAGGATGAAAAAGAGAAGAAAAGTATTCACTGTCTTCTGTGATCTGAGGTTTTATTGGCCAGGATTCCAAGAAACTGAATTCAGATTCAGAGTTGGCATTTCAAAGAGAAATCAGAAAACTCACCCAGATGGTTGCGAGGGCGAGGGAGATCGCTGGGACTGTTGTGGGGGAGCCATAGCCACTCGCAGTTGCGGCACTGCAACGAGCAGTTAGATCTTCGTTGTTGCTCAGATAAAGGAAGATCTAAACCAAAAAATGAACGGAGAGCAATCGTAGTTACTGGTAGAACTTGTATCCTACGAAAATCGGGAACTTTGAGACTTTAGAAGTTAACCCACAAGAAAAATTGAAACAACCCCCACCCCAACTCGAGAGAGCCCATAGACGTAAACGGTGTCGATGTGGCTAGATCTTATTGGCTCTGCCCATTCCGAGCTTCCAACATCACCACGAGAAACGACGACCTTCGTGTTCGACGACGTTTACTCTCAAGGAGTCGAGGTACATATGCACGTCCTACTAAATTGCAAGCAGTACAAGGTCCCGGTAAAAAAATAAAATAAAATAAAATAAACTTGCAAGCATTACAGCTATTGTCATTCTAGAGCCTGAAATTTGAGGGATCAAACTTATTTGGATCAGACTCAGTTGAAGTCAAGTTGATTCAAATTAAATTTAAAGAATTTTACTCATTTTAAAAAGTTTATATAGTCAAATCTGACCCTAACATTTTTAAATTTCAGGTCGGCCTGAATACCCAAAAATTTTTTTAAAACATATTTTTTTAATCAATTTAAATTTTTAAATAATTTTATTAAATATAAAATATTATTTTAACTTGAAAGGAATGAAAAAATAACAATTTATTAACTTTGTAGTTAAATACTTAAGCAGCTCTGTTACTATTTTGTTGTATTATATGCAATTTATTCATAAATATTTCCTTTACTTATAAATTAATATCTTATTTGTTTAAATATTATCCTTATCATGGTTATATAAAGATATTTATAAATTTTAATTAAATTATATTATTTTAATTATCATCAAGTTAATCTTAATTCAACTACAGTTAAACTACTAATTTAAAATCATTGCCTTGATTAGCTCAAAGTTTTTAATAACTATTGGATAAACTATACTTTTTATTTTTAAGAATATGAGAAATATAATTATCATTATATTATATAAAAAAATCATTAATTATGGGTAAAACACTATTTTTTTAAATTTTTTTCTTTAACCTTTTATATTGTTTAAGGCCTATATACAAAAGGTATTTACTTTAGTTTATTCTTAATTTTTAACCAAGTCTAACATGGATAATGATTAAATAATTATTTAAAAATATTATTTTATTTATTATGTTTGTTTAGTAGTAGAACCAGAAATTTGTACATATCCAAATTTATTTTTAAAATTATTTTTAATTTAAAATTAATTATTTTATTTTATAAAAAATATAAAATATATTTTTTGGACAAGAGAATTGTGTACATCACTCAACTTTTTTTAAAAAAAAATTGAGTCCTAAAATATAAAAATTAATATTAAAATATATTTTAATTATTATTTTGAGATATTTTATTTGATTAAAAATAATAAAAATAAGAAAATATAAATATTTTTATTTTTTTTAAAATAACTATAATAATACACTCAAATATATGGTATTTTAGAATAAAATAATATAAAACTTTAAAAATAATTAATATTTATTATATTATATATATTTTTAAAAATGTATTTTTTTCTATTCGAGTATTCGAGTCTATTCGGGCGACCTGAATAGGCCGAATAATAAAAAAATATTATTTTTTTAAGCTTGAGTCTAAATTTTTCGAGCGGATTCAAGTTGGCATATTGAGTTTGGTTCAAATTACTGACTCTATTTTATTTACAATTAAAAATCAATCATTTCTATCTAATTTTCCATCATTCAATTAGGGAACTATGAGCCAAATTTTATTATTTATGTAGAAAATAATTTAAATTTTAAATAGTAACAAGGAATCAATACAGGACTTAAAGCACGAAGAAGTACATACTGCTACTATTAGATTAAGTATCGTATTTGTATTACAAAACAAGTACAAATAATGCTCTATGTTAATTCAAAACAGTGGCAATAAATAGGATTAAGGGTGAATGATTAATTTCACCATTCAACTTTACCCTAGTTACTAGAAATTATAAACTTAATGAATCAATTTTATTTTTTAATATTAAATATTTTCTCTTTCACCATTCTGATATTAAAAACATTTAAAATTTATTAATCATTAATAAGTTTTATTATTTTTTTAAAAAATATAACTTTAGGTCCATGTAATTTACCCGAATTTTGCTATTAATCTTGTACTTTTTTCGGTATTTTTGATTCTTATATTTTTGTTTTTCAGATGGACCTAAAATAATAAAAAATAAAAATACAAGAACTAAAAATATTAAAAAATATAAAGATTAATAGTAAAATATAAGTAAAGTATAAGAATTTAAAATTATATTTTTTTTATTTTTTTATTGTGTTGAGGGTTATTTTTCTCCCATCGATTTTTATTCAAAGCACTAACACCTCAACTTAAATATTTTATAATAGAAAGATTAAAACATGTAATAGGGGGTACCAACTATCAATTAATAGTGAGAAAATAGCATGTCAATGAAACAAAAAAAATTTAAAATTAAAGAATAGAATTGATTAATAATTAAATTTAGGGTCCTCAATGATCTTTCAGATAAAGTTAAAGGATAAAAATAAATCTTTATTTAATTTTAGTATACATGGCAAACGACGTCCCGTTCACCAGTCACTCGGGTACGGCGTAAACGACGTAAATCCACAGACTCGGTGCGTGTGTGGGGGGCCGACCATGGATCTTTCCATGAGTCATAGCATCCAGTGTGGATATGTTAGATATTTACCGTTTGGAGCCACCTTCCTCTAATGCCCCGTCTTCCTCCTCCCGGTGTCGACTCGACTAGGCACGCTTCGCAAATCACGCACGCTAGACCGCGCCACTGATAACAAGCGCTTATAAGTCGACAGAGATCGGAGGAAATGGCTCTGCTTCACCTCCCAAGACTTCGTTCTTCCATTTTATCTTCGCATTCTCTCTCTTCCCACTCCAATCCTTTCACTGGCCACAAGCTTCCCTGCAAAAATTACTTCTTTATCAATACTCGCGCCGTCTTTTCTGCACCCAAATCCACCCTCACCACCTCCGAACCCATACCTATTAGTCACTTCCCCGATACTCCGGTCGAGAACCACGTAGAATTTTCACTAGAGAAGCTTTTTGTGCCCCCAGACACCGATGTCTCGTTCGATAGTGCTAACTTGAGCACTAGAATTTTGAAGGGGTCTAACATAGTGCTTAGTAAGTACGCGAGGGATGCACAGGTAGTGCAAGCCGAATTTGTCAAAAGTAGTGTAAGAACTGAGGATTGCCCTTCTGATGGGCTTCCTGAATTTGCTCTTGTTGGACGATCCAACGTGGGAAAATCTTCATTGCTCAATTCGCTCGTGCGGCGCAAGAAGTTGGCTCTAACATCAAAGAAACCCGGTGAGTGGTAAATGCACTGCTCCGTTTCAAGTTCTTGTACTAGTAAATAATTCATTGCTTGCTTATTGAACAAACAGAACATGAATTTTTGTGTTTTTATATAACAAATTTCAACTTCAAATTCATGGCTAGGAAGAGAACTGAATAGTTCGGTTGGTTATGAAAGAATAGGTGCTAACTTCACAATCAATTTTCTAACCAGCATATTTGTTTTAAAGTATACGAAACCTTGATCAATATGAGAGTGAATTTCATGTTCTTAGAGAGTGGGTTTCCAAGAATCCAACCAGGACATCCATTCAGTGGCGTATGTAACGTACGAACTGATGAATATATTCTATGATTATCCTAAGGTTGCTATGCTGAAAGTAAAATTTGTGGACTCCCATGATTAACGTGTAAGCTTTCATTTAGGTTTATTGATAGAAACATTTGGAATCTTAGTGTGATTATTTCATGAATATTAATGGAATCTTCGTCTGATATTCAAGTGAATTTTTGATAATACTTTCTCTACCCATCAACAGTTTCATTCTCAATGATGTTCTTTCTGTTCGTTATGTTCAAAGATTTGACGTGATTTATTTGGGGGGAAAAATAAAACATTTCATTCTGTGATTTATGTAATATCAGGCATGAAAAAGAAATTAGAACGGTCCCTTGATTAGATAGTACAGAGGATTTAGACAACCCAGATGTTCAAACCATTATATGCATGATATTCTGTCATTATTCATTTTGGGAGCATTAAAATTGGAAATTTAAGGTGCAAATTCTCTTCAGCGAAGGTTTAACATGAACTTGAATCATTAATTCTGTTGAGGTGGATGAAAAAGGAAAATTATTTTGAACTTGTTGGTCATTGACTTTCGTCTGAACTATGTGCCCGCTAACAATTTTTAACTCTATAATCAAATATTTTAGGTAAGACACAGTGCATCAACCATTTTCGGATCAATGATACCTGGTATCTGGTTGATTTGCCTGGATATGGGTATGTCTTCTATATATACTCACTTCCTCCATACTTTCTGTGTTGAAGATTGCAGTCCTTTTCTATATGCAGTTGAGATTGTGACGGATTATGATGGGGACAAATTAATATGATCTCTGAACAGTATTTATAAGGTTTGATTATGCTAGACTCTGGGCAGAATGATCTCTTTGGGTTCTTGTGTCCCACTTGTTTATGGTTGATGCATAAATATACTTTTGATCTCTCTAGCTTAGCAAATTTGTCAATTTAGTCACCTTTGATTCGGAATGCTGCATGTCCACCTCCTTGTTCTCATGTCGCAATCAGATTCCATTGGTTATAGCCTCTTTCATTGCAAATGGATAATGGAAATATAGTGCCATGGGATGGCACTGATCTGCTAATGTAGGCCCTTCTATTGCATTAATGGAGTCTTGAATCTGCACCATGTCATCCAAGTGTGACATGGCAATTCTACATCACCTTAGTTTCTAATTGGTTGATTGTTGACAGTGGTGCTTAGTTGCACTGGTTCAAAGGCTACCCTTGGGAGGCAACTCATTCACACCTTTTGCTCCACTTCTATTTGACAGTTTATCTATACTTTGGCCGGTCTTTTTCCTTTCTATCTATCTTTTTTACCCAAACATTCTTGTTTGTACTGTTTCTCCAAGTCTTTAACTAATGAAAAAATTGATACGTAGCTGGAGATAACTATTTGCCATTTTGTTCTATTGAATAGGTATGCTGCTGCTCCTCAGGAGCTTAGAACAGATTGGGCAAAATTCACTAAGGATTATTTCCTTAACCGATCAACTTTAGTTTCAGTATTCCTTCTAATTGATGCTAGCATTCCTGCAAAACAAATTGATCTCGAGTACGCCAGCTGGTTGGGTCAGAATCAGGTATGTATCTATCTTCCTTCACTGGTCAAATGAATGAATAATTACTGAAGTTAGATGCTTTAAGTCAACCATTAAATTTAAACCTGCGGATGTTCTAAATTCTGTTTCTATGAATGCCTGAATACTTCCAAAACCTGATTGACATAGCACGACCTTGTTGCTTTGTTTTGCTCATCTTCATCTCCCTTCCTTTACCTATTTTGGATCCCACCACAGACACTCCGCAGCTCTGGTAGATTTTTTTATATAAAAATAGTTGACCAATACATATGAGCTACTTCCATTGCCTGCCATTCTGAGAGTATCACAGTCACATTTAGACTTTGACATGTATGCTGCTGAAACCACCTCTCACATTTTCTGTATTTTTTGTGACATCTATTAGAGGTCTGCCTTTGCTCTGCTGCTACTCTATATGTAGGGGAAAATGGAAAATATAAGAACCTGTTTGTATTGAGTAGAGCAATGTAAGTTGGCTAATAGGAGTTGTGCTATCTTCCGTTTCAGATTCCGATGACATTAATCTTCACCAAATGTGACAAGCGAAAGAAGAAAAAGAATGGAGGCAAAAGACCAGAAGAAAATGTGAACGATTTTCAGGAGCTGATTCGAGGTTTCTTCCAGACTGTGCCGCCATGGATAATGACTAGCAGTGTCACTAATCAGGGTCGTGATGAGATACTACTCCATATGGCCCAACTACGAAATTACTGGCTCAAACACTAGGTGCATCAATCTTTGCCATATCTTCTTCCTGCCAACTGGTCACAGACTCAACATGCCGTGGATTTACGTTTTGATGTCAGCAAAAGCTTGTGTTTCTAACAAGAGAGATGGATTCAAATTGAAATAGCATGTTATGTTGTACCAAGAAATTGATGAAATGCATTTAAAGAAGCCACAAAAAGTAGCAATCATTTTTTGATTTTGCAGATAGGCATGTTTCTGAACTAAAGAAATCCTATGGACTATGGAGGGAGGTTTGAGGTTACAGGCAAATTCATGCATAGGCAAATAATTGCTGTATTGACCATGCACCTTCAGGTCCTGTTCAAGTGACAGGGAGGTTAGCCGGAGAATACTAAGCAGCAAAGCTTTGTCCCTTCCTCTGAAGATCTTTGCAACGACAGAATCTATTTCCAGCTATCTGTTTTCTTTTTTAAATGTTAGATATATGCATGTTGTAGTTTCTAATTGTCGGTGTTCAGAAAATCAGTTCATTGGATTTTATATTAGGAACTGAATCCACTCCCAACGCTTAATAAGAGGAAAAAGAAGAATCAATTGTGGAATCCTATGGCTAACATTGATAACGCAATGAGCTAAAGCTTGTTTAGGACGATAATTCCATGAATAAGCCCAAAAAAAAAAAACCAAGAGATTTAAAAATCCTTAGGAGGCAACCCTGGTACCTGGACTACACGCACAACATATAAGCAACCATCCATGGATGTGTTATGAAGCTGTTGCGAGTTGAAGGATTTCCCTCCTCAGTCTCTTTTTTTTTACTTGGAAAAAAAAAAAGACCAAATCGGAGTTGCAGATCCGCAAGGCCCGATAAATAGAATTTAGGAAGAATGACAATAAAGTCCCCAAACTAGGACTTTTTGACAGTTAAATCCTTCACAAAATTTTCTAAAAGTAAGTTGTAAATATTAATCTCAACACATGCGAATAGAGAGTTATATTTAAATTTTAAATATTTTATTTAAAATTTTTATTCTTAAATTTGTAATTATTTGAATCAGTATATGCAATTTATTATGGAAAAATTGTTGGAAGTGTCATAAACTCCGAAGACTTTAATATCATTTTTCCTGGAATTTATCATCACTGACACTGAACCTAATGTCTGCTTGCTACGAAGGATAACAGATTATAATGCTGCTTTTAAAGGCACAGTGAATTTCGCTGGCACGTCATGTAAATGTATTGTTAAAAATATAAGATTTTACATCCAATCCAATTGCGGGGATAGCTCAGTTGGGAGAGCGTCAGACTGAAGATCTGAAGGTCGCGTGTTCGATCCACGCTCACCGCAAAACGCAAGTTTTTATTCCGCACTGCCTTTCCCTTGAAAGAATAATGAGTTTTTGAATGCAGCCCAGCATAAATGAAACATGCACCTGACTCCCCCCCCCCCCAACCAACCCCATGCTTTTGTTGCATTTGGTTAGCAGCTGAATGATTCAAAGGAGTGATATTAAAATTGTGAGAGGAGAAAAAGTAAAAGTAAAACATGGATGTACGAGGCAGCAGCTAGGTAGCGAATTAGGAGCATTAAGCAAGATCAAATAATGGCCAGAGGGTACAAAAACCTTGATAGGTGATACAGACTGCCCCAGTAGGTTTTAAAAAAAAGAAAATTTTGCACGTTCGTCTTTTCACTTTTGAAATCACCACGCCTCAGACACACTGGTACAACATTATTCACTGCTGCATATTTGCAAAGATTCACTGTCTGCCAACTCATCTGATACATATCTCCAATATTTCATCTTCCCTTCCACCATCAACATCGTCCACACAATCAAAACCTAATCATCTTATACCAGTTAATATATTGTTGGTGGGCCCATTTTGAATGCGTGATATGATTAAGCACGAGGAAGGTGGTGCTGTCTTGAGCTATGATTTCTAAACGAGGCAGCCACTATTATAAAATAGACTTTTTACATTATATTTTTAGGCATTTTCACATCACAATTAAAAGAGACATTATATTGAGTGACTTAGAATAATAGCTTATTCACGTCACAAATACCTATGACATAAAATATCATAAACCACATACCCTTTAATAATAGGTGAGGTGGTTTCTATAAAATTTACGTCCCCCCTTATAGGTGGTGGACATGATTTATAAAGAAACTACATCCCCCTCTAATGAGAGAGACGTGGTTTCTCATTGCCTAGTTCATAGATTGAGAAACCACATCCCTCTTGATATAGGGGGACGTGGTTTCTTAAGAATCCACACCCCCTATGGTATAGGGGGATGTGATTTCTCATCTAATTCACAAACCACGTCCCTTTCTACTTATAGGGGGATGTGGTTTTTAAAATTTTTTATATATAATTTATATTTATTTTACAATTAAAATAGAATCTGTCAAAATATGTTATAAAAACAGTCAATTCATCTAACAAAAGTTTAATAAATAGCAATTCATTTACAACCATTTATACATTATCACAACAAAATACACCAAATGTAATGGAAAAACAAAACGATTGCACCTATAATTATATAATTATAAAATTATTTAAAATAATAAGTACATACTTTCATGGGCTCAAACAAAATTTAAGCATCATAATATCATATATATAATGTAAAACTAAAATTAATTGATCATATTCTTAGGTCAAAACAAAAATCACATTTTACGTGGAGACTTGTACAAGAAAATAAAAAAACAAGGAAAAAAAATACCTGGAGAGAAGAGAAGAGATCCTTAGTCGTGAGTGGCTGGGTTTCTTCGTCCACAGAGCTGCCGAGAGAGACAGAGACAATGAGGAAGCCGGGAGATGAGAGATAGAGAGTGAGGGAGGGAGCTAAGAGATGAGAGACAAAGACAGGGAGAGCTAAGAGAGAGAGTGAGGGAGGGAACTAAGAAAAGAGAGACAGAGAAAAGAAACGAGAGAGCTAAGATAAGGGAGGGAATTGAGATGAGAGAGGGAACTACGAGGGAGGGAGCTAAGACAAGGAGCTGCGAGGGAGACAAAAATAGAACACAGGGAGCTGACACACTAGTTTTAAAAAATAAAAAAATGAGTATACACGAAATTCAAAATTTCAATATATTATACGTTTCTCTCCTAGAAGGGAGACGTGGATTTGAGAATCCACATCCCCTAGAGGGGAGGGGGAAGTGGATTTAAGAATCCACGTCCTCCTCTCAATTTGGGGACGTGGATTCTTTAAAATTTATTTCATCTAATTTATGGGAGATGTGAATTCTTAAATTTACTCCTCTCTTCTATCTGTGTGATGTTAATTTGTTTTTTTAAATTTCATTTTCAAAATGGGACGTGAATTAGGGTAATAGAAAATCTTTTTTTAGTAGTGAGCAGACGCAGTATAGCTTCCAGTGCTGAGCTAAACATTGCAAAAGAAAATTAAGAGCAAGTACGTTGTTTTATGGAAGAAAGTGAGAGAGAGAGGATTGAGCTTTCTTTTTACTTGTTTAGGTCAAGATAGGAAGTGTATCTATCATGGAATCTTACATCAGATAGAAGAGATCAGTTTCGGTCTGCTGATTAATTAAGAGCATTTGCAAGCCTCACTTTAATCACTATATATACAAATATAAAGAAACAAAGCGGCCGTGTACGTGACGGTCTATATATGGCCATGGATTTTGATTGAGAACTTCAGGGTGGGTCCTCCGCTCTAACATCATAGTTATAAATAATATATAATGTTTTCTAATTAAGTAAAAAGATAAGTGGTTGAGACTGCCATGTTCTTCTCTTGAATGTTCAAATACATGCAAGACTCGGAAAAATCACCGGAACATGGATGTGAGTATACACAGTGCTGCAGCTTTAATTAATATCGTCAATTTTTTCTAGTCTTAATTAGTAAGAAATGGAAAAATAAGTAATCTGCTTTTTCAATAGTCAATTAAAACTGTTCGACACAAAATCTAGATATCTATATGTACAAAGCTGGGCGCGCACCTGATACATTGTTGTGGGTAAATATTTTTGTGGGATTTAGTTAGAACAGTGGGTCAAATCCAACTATAGATATAGATAATAGATATCCTCAAATAACCAAGACACGAATTCACTTGGAAACTTAGATGCGTCAACTTCATAAAGCAGAATAGATTTCGTAATGGAAACAAATAATTGATCTCCGAGAAAAATAATGAATGATTAAATCAGCGGCGACTTTATTACATATTAATGGAGTTACGGAGATTGACTTGCTGTTGTGACAGACATTCCAATGAACGAGAAAGCAATCATTAATTCCAGCCCCTCCTGTCTCCAGATCTTTCGAGTTTATCTACGAAACATATCTATGATTGACAACAATAAATTACTTAATTACAATCAAGAACCAATTACATGTAAGATGGAATTAAATCATGAATGAGAAAAAAAGAATAAAAAGATGGTCCACATGAAGGCAGCATGCATTTATCAGAAGCGTTGGGGGGGGGGTGATGAATAAATTGGACCACAGAGAATTGAAGGCTGTTAAGGTCATGAAAGCATAATATGATGATGGTTCAGAGAAATTCAGATTAAACAGGTTAGTCTCCATGTGCACCGTGTGTACCTTCCTTGTGAATTGCCCTATCATCATCTTTGTGGGTGTTATCCACCTTATAGCAGCAGGACCACCTTGTGTGTGTGTGTGTGTGTGTGTGTGTGTGTGTGAGATACATGTATGTAGTTGTTACGTTGCTCTTCCCAAGTGATGTATATATATATATATATATATGCTTTCTCATGCTTTTTATGTCCGATTAATTGACCTCTCGCCACAAACACGCATACATCTCATTAACATTATTCACGTCCCTCTTAAATTTAAAGCCAGCTGACGGGGCCTCGCCATTTGTACTTCTCTCTATCAATCTCTTGGTCACACTCCTTCGATCTCGATCTATGTGATTTTTAAAAATTATATATTACATTGCTTTGCTGCGTGAAAGGAAATATAGATAATTGGAAATTCTGAAAGATCGAGTGTAATTTATAATCTAATCTTCGTGTATAGCTTGAACTGTATGTCATGTTTATATCATATCATTTCATGTACATGTGCTCTTTTTTTATGCTCGAATGAATTACCGTAAAAGGATAAAGAAGATAATGGTACTGCTATATGTGAAAAGAAGCTATCCTATACTGAATTATGCAATGTGAGATGGGACTATCATATGGTGGCTAGATTCTTTTGATTAAATTGTGTGATATGTCCGATCTAGCAGACGTCATATCCAATATACTAAAGGATTTGCCTTTGATTTGTTATTCCTTCAAACGGGATAGGTATTGAGTTATGAGCTTTTCAAAAACTGTACAAACACTATATTAGAATTTCAAGGGAAGGTACGATTGTGGCAAGCTAGTTGATGTTGATTGAAAGTGAGCTATGCGTATTGATTCTGCAACTTTTTCCTTCACCAAATAATATGTGGTTTATTTGATTTATTTCAACATCTTTGAATTTGAACGAGACCGTTTAGTTATCATTTTCATGTCAAAATCCAGTCATAATGAGGAAATGAATCTAACAATATACACATATACGATTATTGTGCAGTCATGGCGGGGAGACGGAGTCTGATTAGATTTTTTTTAAAAAAAAAAAAATCTCCATTGCGAAACGGCTCTCTAATTTTTATTTTTATTTTACGGCGACGCTCTTGCAGAGTTTCAATATTTAAAAAATATAAATATGCCCCATTTTCGTTGACCAATTTTTTATGAAGATGAAAATAAAAATTGGAATAGGAATGAGGGTAAGAATTAGTTTTGTTGGAATAAAATGATTATGTAGGTATATATGTTATGAAAGTTAAAGGAATGAATTTTTTACTTTGTGTTTTATTTGGTTGGTTTTGGAAATAATATAATTATATAAGAATGGAGAGATCAAATGACTATAATACTCATGGTAAAATTATTCGTGATTAATTAATTTTTTTAGTTAACAACAAATTGTTTACATATATTTATTCCGAAATATGAACAAAAAATTATTAATCTATAAAAATATTTTCAAACTGCAGCACGGAATAATATTTCTGTTCAATAATTAAGATTAAAAAATAATTATTATTGATAATAGACTCTATGTTACATTTCTAGATTCGGTGCCATGAACATATATAGAACCCATTAGTATCCATTTTTTAACTTTAAAAATAACCTCGAGATCAACTGCATAATCGAGTTTGATTCCAAAAATGAACTTCACTCCCATCTATGAATGGTGTCACCAAACACGTCCGTGCGATTGAAAAATAAGTCTAAAAGAGCTTCTATTTAATTTGCACAATGGCATTTCCATGATTTTGATTTGTTTATGAAAGTATTACAATCAATTTAACCTTCAGTCCCACAACAAGAACCATTAATTCCATCGAAGGACGGTGATCGATCTCAAACATGTGGGAATGAGCTTTTCGATCTGCATTTAAATAATCAACCCAACCAAACATGATTAAAATATATTCTAATTTCGTCTTTCACCTTTGCATTGTAGATTACGTATACAGCCAACTAAACAAAACTTCAAAACCTTTGAGAAGCCTGGCTCACCCAAAAAAAAAAAAAAAGAAAGAAAAGAAAAAGAAGAGCTTAATCAGAGAATCTAGGGTCTGTTTGTTTTCTTTTGAAAATAAAAGAATTTAAAAATTTATTTAAATAAATATTTTTAATTTAGTTGTTTTCAAAATTGTGCTCATTCTTTGTTTTTTTTTTAAGAAATAACTTGAAGTTGTTTTTGCTTTTTTTTTTAGTTTTTAAAATATACTGCATTTGATTATTGAAAATTATGATTATCTTTATCAATTTTTATTATTAATCATCACCATTAACTACTTAAACTATCACTATTAATTTATTTTTTTAATTGACATAACCAAACAAATTTTTATTTTATTTTATTTTAAAATAATTTTACAAATTATATTACATAACAGTTTTAAAAAGTAAAAAATAAAAAAATCGAACATGTCCCTAAATTCGTTCATACTTGCTTTAAATTCTGAACCCTAAAAAAATGAAAGGTAAAGTTGCCTTAGAAGGACGGTGTCTAAAATTGAGACGGAGAATAATCAACACCACAATAATCATTATATATCTAATCAGAGTATATATGTTGGACTTAGCAGAGAATAAAAAGTGAGACGGAGAAAGGGACGTGTCGGGGCAAATGGCACTTTTGGGCCAAAAAAAAAAACCAGAAGACAGCGTCATTTTAAGACAAATATATATATTTTTTTAGCGAATTCAAGACAAAAATATTTTAAAAGTAAAAAAGAAATAAAATCTCACTGTTTATATATATATAAACAATTTTAAAATGTGTGCATGCATACAAATAATGATCAAGTCTTTTAAAATATTATAATTTTTTGAATTTTTTAGATACATTTTTGACATTAATAATTTTAAGTTAATGCTTGAATTGTACCTTATTTAAAATAAAAAAAATAAGTTTGACTTCATTTTTTCAATAATAATTAAGAAATTATAACTTTTCATGTAAAATTTCTTCTATGATTGATAAACAAGTTTTAAAAATAACTTTTTTTAATTATAACTTTTATTTGAGCAATTAAAAGCATGATTTTATAAATAATAAAAATTAAATAAGAAATTACAACTTTTCATATAATTTTTTTATTATTACAATTTAACTTCTAAAAATAATTGATTATAATTTTTATTATGTAAATATATAAAAATGAATAATAAATCACAACTTTCTACATAAAATTTTTTTATTATTAAAATTTAAGTTTTAAACATAACTAATTCCAACTTTTGTTTCAATAATTATAAATTTTATTTTGTAAATTATAAAAAAATAAGAAACCATAACTTTCTACACAAACCTGTTATTTTTTATTTTAAATAAGGAATAATTTAATCATTTAACTTAAATCATTAATATTTAAAAATATTTAAATATTTTTTAAAAATATAAAATTTCTAAAAACTTAATGAGATTTTATTATATTTTTTTATTTAAAAATGTCACACAAGGTTCATAATTTTTTCGTTGATATTTAGTAAAAGAAGTAGCTAACCAAAATGCTGGAGTTCACGATTCAGCTTAGAAATCCAATGAGGTGAAATTGAAGATTCTCAAAGCTTAGTTGAAATAATTATTTTGAATGAATCAATTTTTTCATATTTAATTGAAAATCATGAAAATCATTTTAAAACAGGATTTTCAAACCAAGTTGTAAAGTTTTTATGTAACAGTAAAAAGAGGTAATCTGGTCAAGTAGAATTTTTCAAACGAAAGGAGAAAGGTCCTTAGTTGGTGGCTTTCGGAAATACAGGGTTTTAAAAGTATTAATTTAATTAAGTAATTATCAATTTAATTTAATTAGGTTGTAAAATGTGAATTAGGCGGGGGATGTAAATGGAATAAGAAAAGGAGAGAGGCCCAAAGTGGGGCCCAATGAAGGAGGGTTGGCAAGGATTTCATGGGTCACGGAGACCTTTGTACATGTTGGCCTCAAAACAGGGATTACACACACAACAGCATTTCTAATATGACGTTTTAGTATAGGATCTAGTATGTTGGTAAAAAAATAAATAAATAAATAAATAAAATAAGAATTGGAGGAGCTAGTATGTAGGTACTGGTTGGCAAAACAAAACAAAAAAGTGTGTATGGTACTGTCCTGCTCTGATCAAAAGATTTGATTTGTGCGCAATCCTCAACTCTGTATGGTCTCCATAATTCCAACCTTCTCCAACTGTTACTCTATTCTCATTGCTTCCTCTTTCCTTTAGCTTACCACGTCTCTCTTTCTCTCTCTCCCTACATATACCTACACGCCGTTTGAAATTCTACCTCTGGTTCGGCAAACAATAATAATTATGTTATAATAAAAACAATGCCGAGTAACGTCTAGTCCAAATCATATATGTACCCCATGCCCATTATTTGCCCGTATATGTATGTAATAAGAGCATGCGCGCATCCTCATCAATTTTCTTGCTTGCCCTAATTCTTCTCCTCCCATTCGGGGTTTTTCCTTGTTGAGATTTTGACCAGAGAATTCAACTGGCTCTGGTTAATCCTTGTTTAAAAACCAACTACATAGTTTGCTGGTACCATGAGCAGCTGAAGACTTTTTGTAGTCCTCAGGCAATAGAAAGCTATACGTATCCCACGCTTTAATATACCATGTATATTTGATGTATGTTGTATTTATTTATATATAAGTAAAACATTACAAGTACGAACTGTGGAGCAATAATTTCGCTATACTGGAGAGAAAAATCTAAAATCAACTCAAGGAAAAGGGCAGTCGTCGTCTTCTTCTCCTTCTTCCTTTTTTTTGGGGGGGGGGGTGTGTTGGTGAAAGGTAAGTTGTATTGAGAAGAGTGGCAGTACTAAATTTGGAGGCAGTAGTGCAGAGGGTAGCAATTGAGGAAAGAAAGAAACAACAAAATCTATTGCTGATTCTAGCTCTCGGAATTGACAGTTTTGACATTAGATTAAGGTTGACCCCATGTGCTGCAATCCTTTTTCTGTTTTAGGATATATATATATATATATATATACACACGCATATAGCTTCCCCTTTTTCTCACTCCGATATGATTACATAGAATCCGATCAATGTCACTCTTGCCTCAAATCATGCCCTGCCAGTTTAATCACTTTTCCTGTGTTAGTGTGTATTTGAATTTCGTCCTCAAAACGCAAGCGAGGTTGTTGGGGTTTTTGTATTTGTACCCAGACGAATCTGATGGAGCTGAATTCCGGGGAACCATGTTAAATTTAATGAAGTTGGTGAGAGTGGGAAATGGATAATAAATGCTGCCAAATATTCCACACTATAATTCCCTGCAATTCTTCAACCTAGCTAATGCAGGTGGTCCTCTCTCCTACTTGGAATGAAATCATTTCGATAACGATATTGCGTGGAAGTAGTAATAAAAGAAAACTGCTGCCTGATGTGTTTAGCTCTTCTCGTTAAACGCCTCAGAAACGTTTTTCTCTTTTTCTTTCCTTCTTTCCACTACTCGTCCGGATTTGCCATCCATCAGAGAAGAAATAAAAGGAAATCTATCTGAACCTGAGGATTCTTGAGACTTCAACAGAATCTCAGAGGTAGCAAATTCATATAAAATGGGGTGAAAACATTAGGATATCTCATACTTTTTTTTTTCGAAAAAGACCTCGTGGGAATCTAGGTTAAACAACAATCACATGAGTACCAAATTAAACACTCGTTCTCTGTCACCCTGCTTCCCTCTCCTCTCTAAATAAGTCAAACCTAATTAGGGAAAAATTGTAATGTACAAGATGTACAGAAAGATAGGAGCCCCCCTCCCCCAACAACTACAACACAAGAAAAATAAATCAGCATATATCCTTCTCTTGCAACTTCACTTCAAAATCTCCTTTCTCCATGGCTGATTGGCTGACTGGTACATAATAATCCACGTAAAGGTGAAGGCTGGTCAGTGAAAATCTTCACTGTTGTTTACTGTCTTTAATCGTACCTTTTTCCAGCTGGTGGGATCATCCAACTCCGAGGAGTCAATCAAAACTCACTAAAATAATAACACTATATTTTAATGAATTTGAATACCCCTTCCTCGCTCTTGATGGTGATATAGGAAAAGTGCAGAAGCAATATTTCGTTGAGCATATCTCTGTGTGATGGCACGTCCATGAGATGTATGTATCTCCAATGGTAATAATTAATGACCCGAGGTTCTGACCCGATCCGATAAAATATCTTGTCATCGGCTCTAAGAACAAAGCTTGACCAAATAAAACCAAAAAGGAAACAAACCAATCATGAATTGGATTGCTGCGAAATAGAGCGAGTAAAAACAGTACTGTGCTTGGCCTCAGCTTTCCAACACTGTTCGATGTCCTGAGCTATTCTCTTCGCATCCATGGAGGCACCAAGAAGTCCCCGTTTGGTGAAACCCACAGCGTACAGCCCATTCTCTCCCTTCCACCCATTAGGAAATGGCCTTCTCGGGAACCCATCTTCTTCACAGAACATATCTCCTTCCTGGGCACAATATAGCCTTACCAGATCAACTTTTTTGAATCCCCTTTTTGCTTTATATCGTTTTCAGAATTCATGCAATCGCCAAAAGAGAAAAGGGTATAGAATAGAAGTATATATAAATAGAAATAGCGGCACATACACACACCCACCTTTAGCCAGGAGGGTACATTGCTTTTGTAGCCTGTTGCAAATATGATGGCATCGAAATTCTGTGTCGTTCCATCAACAAATTCCACAGTGTGATGTTTCAGCCGCTTAATGCCCGGACAAACCTACACAAGATTTGAGTTTGATGCACATTCAGATTTCGTTTGTGTCTAAAGTTGAAACAAACAAACAAACAATCTTGGCGAAAATAATTACGCCCTCATCAAATTAAAAAAGAAAAAAGAAAAACATGATTGACATATATCGAACTTTTCCCCTGTCCGTTAGCGTCTGGAGATTTTCTTTTTCCATAAAATCTCCATAAAAAGAAAATCTAAACCTTATGCGAACGCGCACGATTTGATAGAAAAACACAATGATAGAAAATCTCAACCCGCACTATCATCCCCACCCAAAGAATAAACATAAAGAAAAGAAGGGGTCATCTCATCTCGTTGTGCTTGCAACGGAATCATGAAAAGCAGGAAGGAAGGAGGCAAGTTGAATTTATATATAAAATTTGAGAAAAGAAAAAACCTTTAAAATGAAGAGAAAAAGGAAAAGGAGTGAAATGATGGAGAAGGGGAAAGGAAGAGTACCTGAACGTGTCCGCTTCTGATCTCGGAGAGGGTACCCACATCGAGGACTGGGGTCTTGCCGGAAAGGTTCTTGAGCTGAAGGGGACCCAGCCGAGGACGTACCAATCCGAAGCGAGCAGTGTCGCCGAGCAACAGCCACGACACGATCAGCAGGAACCGATCCACCAGTCGTATGGGAAGCCACTTGAGCAACCACATGGACAGCCCGAAAGTTGATTTTCCCAGCATCTCTCGTGGCAGGACGTGTACCTTCATCATCACTCCCAGATTTTAGTCAATTGTAAAAAGAATTCATGATTTTCATTTTTCAATCCAAGTGGGGAAAAGCGGAAGAGCGATTAAAAAAAGGGTAAGAAGAGGCCAGTTCATCATGTGTTTGATGATTATATATCTTTGGTTCTAGCTAGGCTCCAGCCCATTCTGCGCATGCTCGAGAGAATCCCAAGAAAAAGTGAAAATACATCCAAAAGAATATTTAAAAGTTTCTGAATCATGATCGTCCAATACCACCCCCTTTGGAACTTGGAGCCGCTTCCAACGATTCACAGGGAGGGCTTGCTTTCTTATTTTTAATTTGAATTCATTGAAAGAATAGGGCAGTCGCAGAATTTCTGTTTGATGAACGATGAGATTTTTCTCTGAAGAAAATAGAGAAATATCTCTCCTCCTGGGTTTCTGCTTGGCATGTTTTTTCCAATATTGTGATCGAAAAGTTTAAAATAAGAATTTTCAGAACTCGAGGGGGAGGAGAAAACTTTTAAGCAAAAAAGGAGGACTTGAGTGACTTGCCGTTTCGAGCGAAGGGTGAAAAAAGTGAGGAGAAAAGAAAAGAGAGCAGAAGGTTGAAGATTCTTACAGTGTCTCTGACCACAAGAGAAGGGCTAGCATTATGGTTGCGAAGATCTAAGCAAACTTCCATGCCCGAATTCCCACACCCTACCACCAAGACCTTCTTCCCTCTCAGCTCCTCGCCGCTCTTGTACAGGCTCGTGTGCTTTATGGGCCCTCCGAACTCCTCCGCTCCTTCTATCTCCGGTACCACCGCCTCCGCATTCTCTCCCGTCGCCACGATCAGCCACCGGCACACGTACTCCGTTGACGTTGTCGTCTCGGCCTTCCCCTCGCTTCTCAAGTGCCAAAGCCCCAGCGTGGGGTCGAATTCCGCCTCCTTCACCGTCTCATTGAACCTCGGTCTGATATCGAACCGCTCTGCATAGCTCACTAAGTAGTCTATGAACTGTTGCTTCGTCGGGTATGTCGGGAAATCGCTGGGGAACCCCATGAGAGGAAGCTCGCAGAACTGCTTGGGCAAATGAAGGCGGAGACGATCATAGGTCTTGAGCTGCCACAGAGAAGCTATGCAATTAGATCTTTCTAGAAGCACGCTGGGAACGCCTTTCTCCTTGAGACAGGCTGCCACTGCGAGCCCTGAAGGCCCTGCTCCAACAATTACAGGGCCAGGAACCCAAACGGAACGTCGCTGGGAAGACGACGATTTATTGCTCATTTTGTTAGTGAATAAAGGGTCATGAGCTTGCTTTCCTTCTATCTCTCTGACGCAGCAGTAGTCCATCGAGTAAATGCAGTATTGGTGAGATGGTGTAAAATGGGGACGCTAATTAGTCTCTATGGCTTTACGCGTATCATAACTGGTGGTTAAAGAAAACGAGAAGAAAACATGTTGAAGGGAGGTTTTGGTGTGATTGATTGTGAAGTGAAGGTGGATGATCAAAGCGTGGAATTCCTGGGATTTTGGAGTGGATTAAGGAATGAGAAGGGTCTTATCCAGAATGTTTATGTCGCAGAGTGTTGGTTTTGTGAAATGGTGAAGCTTGAAGGAGGTGGATTAGGAGGAAGGATGAGCATCTACTACGGGGCTAAATCAGCATTCATCACAGACAGGGACTCACTGAGAAGGATGGTGTTATCTCTATATATATTCCCCTTCTCATTGTTTCATATTATATTTTTAGGGCAAAAAGGAAAAATACTTATCAAAATGATCTCACAGGTACTCAATATTTTAAAGTAAAGGGTAAAAATATTCATAACACTACATAGATAGGTATAAAAATAACTTGACTATTAACTTTGATCTAACGCCATTAACTTTGACCGTTAAATACTGACGATACATGCACACGTTAGTCTTTGCTAGCGTGATTTAATAAAAGGGTAAAAATACCCACGAAGTCATCTGCTAGGAACAAAAATACCTACAAAGTCATAGACTAGGAGTAAAAATATCCATAACGTTACTAAAATTAGTGTAAAGATAATCAATCCATCAAATCCCTTAAATATTAATCGTTTAGCTGACACCTAAGCAAAAGTTGACCATTTTTTGCCAATGTAAAAAAAATATATTCCTAGATAAAATTCTTTAAAAGTTAATCGGTTATTGTGTGAATATCATATGAGAAAGTGTTATTTTGACTTAATATCAAATTAAATCGTTTATTTTTTTTTTTGCAGCAATGATGAAAATCATTTGACAATTTTGAATTTATCATGAATGCAATTATTTAAGGTTGTGTGTTCTTGAGTTATATGTGCTCAGCTTCAATTTTAAATTTTGTATAACCTATCTCACTACGTTAAATCTTAAGTTTTGCAAATAAAAAAAATGAATAGAGAGGGAGAAAGGAAGGGGGTAAGATACGTGGCAATAAAAAGAAAACATGTGATGTTGAGTTTGACAAATTAGTCACTATTATACCTACTAAAGTAACATTATAAGTACTTATATGATGATCGATCAACATTCATAAAAAATTTACTTGAGAATATTTTTTATCTACATTAGCAAAAAGAAAATCAACTTCTGCTTAGGTGTCAGCTAAACGGTTAATCTTAAAGAAATTGAATGAATTAGTCACTTCTGCGCCAATTCCGATAACATTGTGGATATTTTTGCTCATGAGCAGTGACTTCATAGGCATTTTTTTTTCTTTATTAGTCGGCGTCAGCAAAAACTGACACGTGACATGCACAATTAGCATTTAATGGTTAAAATTAATGGCGTTTGGTTAAAGTTAATGATCTAATTACTTTTGCATCCATTCATGTAACGTTGTGGGTATTTTTGCCTTTTTCCTCACTTTAAAATACTAAGTGCCCATAGCAAACTACTTTGTGGATATTTTTTTCCTTTTATTCATATTTTTATACATCCCACGTCGCCCTTTCATCACAACTACTTAAATGCTAATTCTACTTAGTTTTCAATATTTTTCTTATTAAGGTTTAAATTATACAATTATTATTATTTTTAAATGAATATTTTGCTTCCATAGGAAGATACGTTAAACTTACCTTTTTATGCACAGGTTTGGGTGCCTGTTCTTAATTTTGTAAACTTTGGCAGATTTTAATTTTCATATATAAAAAATAAATAATAAAAAACAAAATATACTGGCTAATTAATTCTAGTCTAACTACAATTGATAAATATAATTTAATTTGAAAATATCTATTGAGTGCATGTTTATAATTAAGAATTGTATTTTATAACTCGTCAATATTTTATTAAACTTTTTAAATATGTTTCAATTTTAAGAAACAAACCAAAAAACAACGTCTGGTAACTGGTAAGTTATATATATGAGCAAAATCCAAGTGGTTAATGTTTTGCGGCCTACTTGGTTAAACTCTTTCATGGATTAGAAATTAATTTTTGTTTCTTTGATCATCTACCTCCTCTTAATCAAGAGACAGTTTATGATGAAAGCGTTCTTTTAGATGGCCATTATGGGTTGTAATCTCTTTTTGAGTTGTTTTACTCTTTGTAATTTAAAAAAAAAAAATCCAAGTGGTTAAAAAGTGTCCTTGCTTGGAAAGAAAAGTGAATATGCACGCACCAGGGTAGATGGATCAGAGTCTTTCCATTTTTTCTCCTTCCTTTTCCTTCACTTCTCCCATCCCCATCATTCAAATTTTTTTATTAAATAATTTTTTTAAATGAAAAAAATTAATGAATGATGGGGATGGGGGAAGTGAAGGGAAATGGAGAAAAAAAAAGTGGAGAGACCTCACTTCCGAGGATAGATACCTTTTGGTTATTTAATTACTTTTCATTTAAAAAAAAAGCTCATACATCTTTCTAATTATAATTTTCCTTAGATAGCTCGAATTCAAAACTTCAAATAGAATACTTACCAAGTCTTTTTTTATCAAATATTGAAAAAAAAAATGCACCTATTAATTAAGTAACATATGTATAGTCACTTGAGTAGGGGTTGAGAGTTTGAATTCCAAATCTTCTATATGCAGCAACTTATTTATGAAAGATTTACTAGTTACTTTCAGTATTTCATAAGAGATGACTTTTACTGTCAGGGGAGCACATTTTTTATAGCTCATGCTATCCAAAACAAAAAAAAAAACAAAAAGCACATGCATGCCTCTTTGATATATAGTTGAATCCAGTAGCAATTTCTATGCACACATCATACAGACATCATGCTGGGGCTAATATTTTGATGATTCATGGTAAATCAAAATAACTTTGGACATGGTAGTAATTAGTAAATATTGTTTAGACTTTAATTAAGTTAACTAAAGCGTCTGATTAAGATGATTCAATCCCACCAGTTTGTACGGAAGATTTAAAGAGGGAATTTTTGGTTAGGGAAGTAAAACTGATTGAGTAATCGGAGAATGATTACAAAACGTAGCTTATCTGGTGGTGATCGATCTCATTGGACAATGCGGTGTCACTCGACTTGGGCCACTTTGACGGCCCATTTCTCACCTCAATAACTATTTTCTTTACAACTTGTTTTTTTTTTTATTTTATGCTTCTATTTTATGTTAATATTTTTTTGCTAATATTTTATGTTAATATCAATACACTATAAAATAAAAAATGTAGGAAACATTTGTTAATAAGTCATTTATCGAGCTACTTATCGTTTAGAATTCGTGTAACGCGAAAAAAATGTGTCATAATTATAAGAAAAAACTTGTATGCTTGATGTTATATACTTGATATACTTATATTCAATTAAATCATGACATGTAAATATTTTATAATAAATTCTTACTATTGATTGAAATAATATATTAAAAAAATATATTTAGAATTTTAAAAAAGTTATTATACATAATATTAAGTCTAAAAAATAAATTTAAGTTAAATATACACAACAATAAATCTAAATTTAATAAAAAACAAGAACATGACAAAATCAACACCCATAAGAATTATGATTTGCTAGTATCATTAACTAAATGTTGATGATTTCGTTATTATAAACATCAATATAATTCGATTATTTTTTTCATAGAGCCTCATCAATGACAAAAATATTAAATTCTTCATATATTTTTTCTTCATCCTCATGAAATGAGGGTGGGATTTCAGAATTAGTGTAGTATTTATTTTTTAAATATTAAAAATTAAAAAAATTATAAAAGAATTTAAAAACGTCAACCTTTTTATTTAAGGGCTTAAAAAAGCCAGGTACAAATTGTTGTTTTACACTCTAAAATAACAATTGAGTCCTAAATTTTGTTAGACTTAAAAGAGCCAGCCCAACATGATCGACCTTAATTGATAGCTCTATCAATATAAAATATATCAAGTCATATATCAATCCATTCTTTTGATTCCACACAATTAAAATAATTTGTTTAATGACTAACAGGAATTAAGTTTAATAGAAGGAATTGGTCTCTTGTAACATTGTGAATCAATATTTTTACCTTCACTAAGAGACACGCCCACATTTTCAATTGTATTTTAAATAAGATTGCCTTCAATAAAAAAATACACAAGAGCAATAAAATAAAAAGAAAAATCCACTCGGTTTTGTAATATAAAGAAATAAAATTGATTTTTATTTCAAACGAACGTTTTTTTGGCTTTATTACAAATAGTCAAACGTTAGTTCGCGCGCGCGGACATGTATATATATATTCGATAAAGTTTTAAAAATCAGTTATATATATTGATTACGGTCGATAACTAATTTAGTTTGCTATTTTTATATTTAATATGATTAAAATTATTCAATTTGACAGGTTTTTTCAAAAACCACAGGGGCTGAGATACCATCTGTTTGACCTTGATATTATTTGAATTTGGATTATTTGTTTTGTTTAAAAAATATATTAGCACTGGCCTTCGCCCTTCCGTCTGGTTGAGACGGCACCGGAATTTTAAAATTTGATACTTCATTGGTTACCTAATATACGCAATAAGCAATAGACGGCATTAGCTACGCATATTGTTGAAAGATGCTTTTGTATTTTAAAAAATTACCTTCCCTATCTTACCCCAATAAATGAGTGTAGTATAAAGTAGTTGGGTAATAGTAGATAATTGAATGGATAATTATGAAGGGCATTTTTGTAAATATAACATCAAAATATCGATTGGAATAACTAACAAATATTAGTTCAGTCATTAGGAGTTTGACTCATAATTCACCAGACTCCAACTCACTTAAACTTTATTTTTATAAAAAGATATTTGTTAAAATATGTGATATGGTATATTTGGTAACAAAAGTTCTTCCCGGTTTATCATTTATACAGGCAATGGAGGGGGTGGTTGAAGATTTTTTTTACAAATAGTGAATAACGTAATTTGACACTCAAGCCACGCTTTAAACATTTTGAACGCAGTATAAAAGTCTGAATTTCAATTAGTGCGTACCCACCAATGGCATTTATTTTAAATTTTTTATAACTACTGTATGATAATACAAGACATTGATATGTACTTCAAGTAAAACCTTGATCTCATCAAAATTTGTACATCTTTTCAATTATATTATTATTAAATACTGTATATGTATATAAGTGCATAATAATGAAAATCAAAATCATTTTTTTAAAAAGATTGATAAATGAAGTAGGGATGTAATTGAAAAAATAATTATAAAAACTATCAATATTTTATATTTTAAATC